CAGAAGGCCTTTTCATCGGCCACCTCAAGACTGTGAACTAACCTGCTGGTAGAGCTCCAACAGCGAGATCAGCTGTCAAAATTTAAAAACCATGAAAGACTCATCCAGGTCTACCCAGCCAGTCCTTAAGCATGAATTTTAAACTCATGTCATGTGTTTGGCCTCTGTCCTGTGAGATTAATGTGTATTTTACAGAAAGGCTTTGATCTGTATCTTTTATGGAACTGAATTTTAATGTGTGTTTGCAGAATTTTTATAATAGAGCACAATAGAACATTCAAAACAATGAAATTTCGCCCACCAGAACAACCCCAATCTATGAAATATTTTCCATCACATTATGCTGTAAACTTGAAGGATCCTTATGATTTGTTTAGACATTAACAGAAGGTGGAGCTATTGCGCTGCTTTACCTGCGCCAAAGCATCAGTTTTCTGGTGTGAGATCCTTAAAATAAGAATTATGACTATGAATAGTTGCATAGAGATATGTGTGGTTAACTGGATTTTGAAGTCTACCGTAGTCCTCAATGACAGGCAGCCAACAAACGATGTCAACTTGAGCCATGCCAAATTATTATGATCTTGTTTGCCAAGACAGAGTTTTGTAGAAATCTTGCTTTCAGAACTCACAGAGGCTTCAACTTTAAGCAGTAGTACTTTAAGTACTGCCCCGGTGGCACAGTGGGTTAAACTGCTGAGCTGCTGAGCTTGTTGACCGAAAGGTCACAGGTTTGAAACCGGGGAGTGGTGTGAGATTCCACTGTCAGCCCCAGCTTCTGCCAACCTAACACTTCGAAAACATGCAAATGTGAGTAGATCAATAGGTACAGCTCCGGTGGGAAGGGAACTCCACTCCATGCAGTCATGCCGGCCACATGACCTTGGAGGTGTCTACAGACAATGCCAGCTCTTCAGCTTAGAAATGGAGATGAGCACCAACCACCAGAGTCGGACACAAAAATTTTTACCTTTACCTAAAGTTCTTTTAAAAGACACCTTGAAGCCAAGATAGGAATTGGTAGAGCTGCTTAGGGTTGCCAAACTGGCAGTGCCTGCTGTCCCTTTAATGCAGGGGTCCCCAAACCTTTTAACCAGAGGGCCAGGTTACGATCCCTCAAACTGTTGGAGGGCCGATTATAATTTGAAAAAAAAAAAACCATGAATGAATTCCTATGCACACTGCACACATCTTATTTGTAGTGCAAAAAAAAACCCACTTTAAAACAATACAGTAATTAAAATGAAGAACCATTTTAACAAATATAAACTTATTAGCATTTCAATGGGAAGTGTAGGCCTGCTTTTGGCTGATGAGATAGGATTCTTGTTATTGCTGTGTACTTTAAAGTCGTTTCAGACTTAGGTTGACCATGAGCAAGGGCCGGGTAAATGACCTTGGAGGGCCATATCCGGCCCCCGGGCCATAGTTTAAGGACCCCTGCTTTAATGGCTGTGGAGAAGCAGGAATTTCAGCAATTTTTTGCTTGTCATGTAATTATATAACAAGCAAATGTTGCTGATGACAAACTCGTTGCTTTCAGAATTCAAGCTACCTGAGTTCCATAAAGAGGATGGGATGGGGTGGTATTACAAAATAAACTCTTTAGGCCACAGTGCCCTTTTGTGATGGCAGCATGAGCTAGATCGTCACCGTGACTGGTAGTGCCAAAAGTAGTAACTCAAACTCACTACAGATTGATCTTTTAATTCATTTCCTCCTCCTTTTCTTCCGGTTGCTGCTGCTATTGTTATATTTCTAGCCCTCCTTATTTTTCTGCAAAGAACGCATACTCTTCTACCTGCACCTCTCTATTTAATCCTCACTACAACTCTTCGAGGAAGGTTAGGCTGACAGTCTCAAGGGAGCTACATGGTTGAGTAGGAACTAGAACTGGGATTTTCTGAGGCCCCTCCACACAGCTGAATAACACCCCACATTTGCTGCTTTGAACTGGAATATATAGCACTGTGGACTAAGATAACCCAATTCAAAACAGATATTGTGGGGGTTTCTGCCTTGATATTCTGGGTTATATGGCTGTGTGGAAGGGCCCTTAGTTGTGGTCTATGGAGTTTATCAGACCAGGCAAGGAAATCGCAACAGCATCTTTGTCTTGGACTTACCACATGATGTTGCTCTTTTCCCACTTCTCTCTTTGTGGAAAACAGTCTGGAAAGCATTTCCACAAACACAAATCATCTGTTAACAACCTCCAGAAAACATCCCCATGGACCAGCTCAATGTGACCTGGATAGAAAAATCCATACATACTGGATGAGCTACCAGAGAGAAGGGAATAGGAATGTGCTCTTTGATTCTTGCCTAGTCCCATTTCTCTAGAAAGGAACTAGAGAAATGATAGGATGCATGTCTACTTAATTTACCAACTCAGTCTCTAGGGTGCTACAAGTTCCCTTTGTATACTGATATTCAGGATTATCATAGCTACTACCTTGAGAGAATTAGAGTGTTTTTTTTCTCCTTTTCCACTCAGTATCTTTACAGTCCTCAGATTCTCTCTTCAATGGAAAAACAGCCTTCACAATCAACATTAAAGAAAACTTATCTTTGCTGTTACATGTTACAGGCTGATCCATTGCTGGAACATCTAAAACAAACATCCGCAAAGACAGTAAAAATTAGTACTGATTCCTACTTTTATTCCCACAAATCAATGTTTCTTCAGAAACTCCCACAAGTTCAGTGGCTGTTGGGGCAAATATGACATCTGTCCTGCAGGATGTTAGCCTTGGCAAATGATACATTTACCCAAATAGAGGCCATCTCTGTTGCTTGCCAACATTTCAATTGGATGATTTTGCAACATCCAATTGAAATATCCAATTTTGATCCATCTCTCACGGCATTTTTTTTAAAATTATTACCATCTGGCAGACAGCACAGGGTGACAAAGACAAGCACAAACAGATTGAGAGATAGCATTTATCCTAGAGCTATAACTACATTCAACTCCATGGTATCGCATTGATGTGGCCTGGGAGGCTGTGTGATAGTGGTTGGAGTGTGGAGGAATGAGTGTGTTGTTTTTGTGATTTGTGCTGGGGAAGGCATTTAATTCTGTTGTACAATGTACAATGACAATAAAGCTATCCTATTCTATTCCAGTCTATTTTCAAAGGCCTGATGGCATCTCTGTCTGATGAAGAATCCAGTGGAGCTTTGATGTATTTTGTGCAGTTTGTTTGGCCAGTGAAGGTGTCACTGTTTTGTGGATTTGGGATTTTGTGGAATATCAATGTTTTTGGCTTTCTGATGGAAAAAGAGCAAAGGAAGGGAAGGAGTTCCAAAGTTTGGGAACAGCCACCAAGAAGGTGGCCAAACAAGCCAGGGAAATATTTGTCCAGAAACGATTGTCTCAGCAAGAACACAAATAAGCAACCACTCATTATATCATTATACTTATGCATATTGTGACTCCACCAATGCCTTTGTGGAAGTGTTTTGCAAATGAGAAGAACTCATGCTGTAATGAATCTCTTTGCAGAAAAAGTCTTAAACATGCCAACAAGTTTATTATTTTCCTTCTATACATACTGAAGTAGATTTCACATGGTTATCTCTATGAAAACTGCAAACTTGTAAGAGAGAACTGAAACAATCTAGATCAGCATTTCTCAACCTGGAGGTCAGGATCCCGGGGGGGGGGGGGGTTGCAATGGGGGGTTTCAGAGGGGTCGCCAAAGACTATCAGAAAACGCATATTTCTTTGGCAGAGAAGGCTGAAGATTTCTCTGCCTGTCCTCTTCCTTTTTGGAATCAGATGGCAAATCATCCCATCAAAAGCCCTCCTCCTGCTCTGATTGGCCAGCCCCTCAGCTGGTCTCTCAGCCAAGAGGAGGGCTGTTTCTAAGACTCCAAGCGGGGTGGGGAGAGGAGGTGTGCTCGGCGCATGGCAGCATGGTGCACATGCGCAGGTGAGAGAGAGTATATGAGGCTGGAGGGAGGCTCGCACCAGTGAGTCTTTTCAAGACAGAGGAAAAGCACCCTGGCACATGGGACAGGAGGAGGAGGAGGAGCAGAAGCAGCTTAGATAATTTGCAATGCTATTTATTAGAAAAAAAGTCAGTTTTTAGTTTATTATTATTATTATTAAAGCTCCCATTCGAAAATGCATTGGGTTGTGGGTGAACTAAAACTCCCAAAATCATGGGCCAATCCTCCCTAAAATCCCGCCAATATTCACAGTTGGCCATGTTGGGTCTGTGTGCCAAGTTTGGTCCAGATACATCATTGTTTGAGTTCACAGTGCTCTCTGGATGTAGGTGAATTACAACTCCAAAACTCAAGGTCAATGCCCACCAAACCCTTCCAGTATTTTCTGCTTTTCATAGGAGTTCTGTGTGTCAAGATTGGTTCAATTCCATTGTTGGTGGAGTTCAGAGTGCTCTTTGATTGGAGGTTAAATGTAAATATCAGCAACTACAACTCCTAAATGATCTAATCAATCCCCCTTCCCTCCAACTCCACCAGTATTCAAATTTGGGGTGTATTGGGTATTTGTGTGAATTTTGGTCCAGTGAATGAAAATACATCCTGCATTTACATTACAATTCATAACAATAGCAAAATCACAATTATGTAGTAGCAATGAAAATAATTTTATGGTTGGGGGTCACCATGACATGAGGGTATTAAGGGGTCACAGCATTAGGAAGGTGGAGAACCACTGGTCTAGATTATCTAGATTATCTAATGTTCAGATTCCATCTGAACATTAGGAAGAACTTTCTGACTGTGAGAGCTGTTCAGCAGTGGAACTCTCTGCCCCGGAGTGTGGTGGAGGCTCCTTTTTGGGAGGCTTTTAAACAGAGGCTGTATGGCCATCTGTCGAGGGTGCTTTGAATGCAATTTTCCTGCTTCTTGGCAGGGGGTTGGATTGGATGGTCCATGAGGTCACTTCCAATTCTATGATTCTATCTCTGAAAGGCTTGGAAACCTATTTGGAAAGCTGTCCACTCACTTGCTCAACCATGGTGAGGAATGGGTGCAAATGTTCTCATTCAGTCGGTAAATATTAGATGTATGCATCCTCAACACAGTTGAGTAACTGCATGGGAGTTCAGAGTCCCATTGTATCTTTGACCTTTTGTAGATTCTCTAGAAAGTTTAAGCTCTCCCTTGTATTTTAGCACTTTTCTAAAAAAAAAATGGCAGTATAAGTCTACTTCAGTATATATAGAAAGGAACGGAAGAGTTTAATCAGTCTTGTGTCAAGCTTAAGACCGACTGACCAATTTGTTTTTTAAAAACTCTTTCCCTACTAAATTCCCATTCTTATGTGGATCTGATACTCCGAAAATGGAACAACACTTTTTTGCTTTGTGGTTGCTCTTTCCCTTATTGACAGGATTAGCAGAACCAGCTATCCCAGAGGTATTTGTCTTTTATTCTCAAACATCTCAATCTCTCCCTTTTCTTTCTCTCTCTCTCTTTTAGAATATGGAATAGGGGTAGGGTGGGTATACGTATTTACAATGTCTAGTCATTAAATAGAATTTATTTTACAGCTGGAATTTGGGGAAGTGTTCCTCACAGGTTGTAAAGGCAGTTCTTGCTTTTGAAACCTGAGATGGACTTTTCTTTCTAGTAGGCTCCTTCTCAGAAGAACTGAATGTCCAGTCAAAATGGAATCAAGAGTGAATTGCGCATATACGTCACTGTATTACTTTTTTAAAAATTGATCTGTTCTAAATTGTAGATGTACCTAATCATGAAATTTAAATTCGTATCCTGTATTTTAATCTCTCTTCTGTGTATTTTAATAAGTATTTTATAGAAATATGTTTTAATATGTATCTTTTATAGAAATACATTTAAAATGTGTATTTGTAGGCTTTTACACTGTGTGTTTTAATTATGTTGTAACCCACTTCGAGCCACAAGGAGAGGTGGATAAGAAATTATTATTATTATTACTGGAAATGCATACGAGGATTTAAAGACTGAATTACAAAGACTCTGGCACAAGTCAATAAAAGTGGTCCCAGTGGTGATCAGCACACTGGGTACAGTGCCTAAAGACCTTAGCCTGCACTTAAAAACAATTGGCGCTGATAAAATTGCTATCTGTCAGCTGCAAAAGGCCACCCTACTTGGATCTGCATGCATTAATCACTCATACATCACACAGTCCTAGACACTTGGGAAGTGTCTGACGTGTGATTAAATACAAAAGCCAGCATGGTTATCTTGTTTGCTGTGCCCTGGAATATGCTTTTTGGATTGTGTGGTTATAAGTAATTGTTTTAAAACTTGATATGTTTTAATTATGTGATTTTAAAGTATATGTTGTTTTATTTTATATATGTATCCATGGTATCAAATTGTGCCTTTGTTGTGAGCCATCCTGAGTCCCTTTTGGGGCAAGAAGGGCGGGATATAAATGCAGAAAATATATAAATAATAAATAAATACTAATCTTGTTGCGAGTCAAATAATAATAATAACCTATAGATTTTGTCTTTAGCCAGGCATCATTGAGATCAGAGCTTGCAAGTATTAATTTTTTTTGGACTCTAAGGCAGCATTACCTTCCCTGTGGTTTAGCCTTTCATTTTCAAAGCTCAGAGAAAGACATTTGCCCGAAAGTTTTGGGAGATACTATTGGCCATTATAGATGGAACTAAATAAACCAATGTTAAGACTTGTTGAACATGTCCTTATATATAAGAGTTTTGTAAAGATTTGTTTAAATTAAGATGAAAAAAGGCTCATTTTAGTTTAGCTTCTGCTTTAACAAATCAAAACTGGCAATTTTGTAATATTTTGCGACAAACAATCAAACGCAAATAATGAGTTAAAGTCATGCGGCTACCTGAAACATGGTACCATATACAGCAAATGTGGCATTCTGTGGGGATAAGATCACATTTCAAAAAACAGTGAAGCAAGAGGAAACAACATTGCATTCTTCCAGACTGCTGAAACAGACCAAAAAGCCCCAGGATTCATCCTCATTGCCATATAATGCAGATTCGGAAAGCAGTTAAATTGCATCAAACTAGATTATATGAATCTACAGTGCCATATAATGCAGTTCAGTGCAGTTACACTGCATTATATGGCAGTCTAGAAGGGGGTCTGGATTTTGTTCTTGTTCCTTTTGATTTTATTTTGGAGATCCGCATTGTTTAACCTAGAATGTCTTCTATTAGCTTCCAGTACCACCAGAGACTTTTTATACGTGTTCCTCAGATCAGTTTGTTTTTCCTAAGTATAAAACCAGAAAAAATAAAAACAGAATCTGGACTTTTCAATCATCTGGATGTGCCCATCACTTGGCTTCTTTCAATATTCCCATTATTACTCGTTACCTTTAAAAGATATCCAAAATTAGAAATATTTTAACAAGAACTGTTAAAATTTTAAAGCATTTAGTTTCAAAATAGTCGACTGTTGGCAGTTGTTTGCACTCATGGTCAACATGAAGTAGCTTTGCTATTTTTTCTTCCCTCTGTAAGAAAGTCCACCAAACCTTATCTTGTTTCTAATAGAAAACTTCATGTTCTCCACAGAAATATTATTTTATATATAAATATATTATTTTGGCACAGAACACCAAGTTTTATGAACAGGAAACATGCTTTCTGCACATTTTCTGCCAAAAATGGGGATTTCCACAAAGATGAAGTCCCAAATGATGAAATTTCCCCTCCAATATTATCCTGAAACAGGTTTCCTCATAATTAAGGATTTCATCTGTCATTTGTGAACTTTTGAACATTCATCCCACCCCTTGTCTGAAAGATAAATGAACAGAATGAGCATAATGATAAACAAATATTTTAATGAACCATGTGTTGTATAACACTTTGGTTGGCACTGTTGCCCAAACATGACACCATTGTTGTTGTTGTTGTTGTTGTTGGCTCTTTGAAAAGTATTCTTTGGGAGTGTGTTTTTTCTCAAACTTGCACTTTCCAGGTATGTTGGATTATAAATGCCACAATCCCCAGACAGCAATCATATTGTGATGCACATTGTTCACTTCTGAAAAAAGTGACAGTTTGTGTAATGCAATTAAAATCCCCCAAAGAAAAGGAGCGATTCACAAAATGTGCAATTTCTAAGCAATGATATAAATCATATAACATTTTCCCAATCAACTTTATAGTTTCTTATACTATTGTTAACATCAGTTATCATAACATCTACTTAACATGGTAAACATTTTCTCTCTTCCAACATTAATGTAAATGGTTGGGATTTATGAGATTGTTAGGTTAACAAAATGTGCAAAACCTTCCCAATTATGTTCTCATTTAAAGTTTCTTGACTACTTTATTTTTTCTCCCTGCCTTTATATCTTCACAAATGCAATTCTGACTTCACATGGAAGTCAAGAAAGCCATGGATACTGGAAGCATATCCTATCATGTGTAAGATCAGTGTTATCTTTATATAGTATTGCAAAGTGACTTTTAAGGTAAATATAATCTTTGGACATCCATTTTCTTTATAAGTCTAAAAGTTCCAAAGAAGAGAGACCCGAGTCACTGGTTGTTTGATCAAAGAGAAATACTAGTCTCTCAACTGAAGAACTAGTCCTTCAATTCAGCCAACCGTTACATTCATTTATCATGAAGACCCATGGAATTCAAGTTTTACTCTAAACTAGACTTTTGATTTGCCAATAAAAACTACATTTTTAAAACGTTCATAAAATAATAATGTGGATTTGCTATGAATTTGAATTTTCAGAATATGAAGAAACTGCGTGTAGGGATTATTATAGTTTTGCATTCACCCCTTTACCCATGGTAGAAGCTGGACTGAATTCAATCCACTTCAGTCAGAATCAATAGTCACTTCCTTCCCCAGGATGGCATCGAGATCTACAGCATTCATGCGGACTGCAAAGTTACATCAAGGTTTGTTCACACCACCATCACCAGCAAAGTTGTTAACCGAGCTGAAGAGTCCAAGGAAGCTGTTTTTGAAGTGGAGTTGCCCAAGACAGCCTTCATCACAAACTTTAGCATGTAAGCAGGGAAAGAAATGTTTGCTTGTGTCATTCTTGAACAAAAGGACAAATCACTTCAAAAGTTTTATTTTGTTGAGTGAAATTGAACATTAGTTCAGAATATTTATGAAAAATCAATTAGCAAAATTTCTGCATAATATATACTGCAAAAACCTTTTTTGTACAAAAAAGGGGGGTTGCTCAGAAAACTCCCTTTTCACATAAGCAAGGGGGAATATATTATTTTTGTGCATTTAAAAAAAATAAGTATAAACTATGATATATCTCATGGTAGTTGGCTGCATTCTCATAGTTTAGAAAACAGCATTCATATTTATATAGGTTTCACAATGAAAAACAGTTTTTATCATGCTTTTTATTAACCTTGCATTTGCTTCTAAAGCATGGGCAATGAAAATCCAGAGGAAATTATACTTGTGAAAATGTAGGTCTTGGTTTTTTAAAATACCTTTTTCTAAGAAGTATATTCATTGGCATAATGAAATGAAAGAAATCTAAGGCCTAAATTTTCCAAAAGCCCAAATACTCCTCTTTCCAATGAATGGAATTATTCAAAATATTCTTTTTTTTCTCAGGACCATAGATGGAAAAACATATCCTGGAATAATCAAAGAAAAGAAATCAGCCCAAGAGCAATATGATGCTGCTGTTTCACAAGGGCAAAGTGCTGGATTGGTCAAGTAAGCAGCAAAGCTTTTTCCAATTCCCTTCCTGGGTAGAAAAAGAGACTTCAAAAAGAATCCATATATTAAGAAAACACATTAGCAATGCATAAATGTTGGTTGAAATGTAATTGAGGAGATGACTACTCAAGGCTTGTAGCATGCATTAGGAACTCTCTAACTATGAATGTGGCTTTGCTAAATGATGAATGGCATGCATCTTATGGTTCAAGTATTGTGTTTTGTCCTGTTGTGAGTTTTGAAGCAACAAAGGTCCCTTCTATACTGCCCTCAATCCTGGGAGGAACTGGGATATTTTTTCCCAATCCCTCTCGGGATTGAGACTCCACATCCTCCCACAACCCCGGGCATTCCAGCCACCCATTTCCCCCCCAAAAAATATATGTAACAGCCCTGCCAACAATGCAGGACCCTAAGAGAGCTTTCCCAGTCCTTGAAAATGTTGTGTCAGGAAGTGTGTGTGTGTATGTGGGGGGGGGGGGGGAATCCCTCTTTTCTCCCACACCTCCTGACGTGTCATTTTTGAGCACCAGGAAAGCTCTCTGGAGGGGCCTTTGCTGCTGGCAGGCCTCTCATATACATTTTGGGGGGGATTTTGGGGCTGGGAAGGGAAGGAGACTTCATTCCGCTCCTTTGGGATTTAAAGCCCGAAAACCCAGTATCAATGTGGGGATTGACACCCCCCCCCCCCCCGGATTGTTAAAGCCAATCTGGAAGTAAATCCCTACGGGGACTCAGACCTAATAATAGTAATAATAATAATAATAATAATAATAATAATAATAATAATATCTGCCTGTGACAAAGAACCGGTGGGATCACAAGCCTGAAAAAGTTACAGAAAACGTTACATCAAACTACTCTGGGATTTTCGAATTCAGACTGACAGAGTTTTGGAGCACAATATTCCTGACCTCACAATTAAAAAACAAGTATGGATCGTCAATGTTGCAATCCCAAGCGACAGCCGGATTGAAGAGAAACAATATGAGGATTTAAAGACCGAACTGCAAAGACTCTGGCACAAGTCAGTAAAGGTGGTCCCAGTGGTGAACAGCACACTGGGTGCAGTGCCTAAAGACCTTGGCCTGCACGTAAACACAATCGACGCTGATAAAATTACCATCTGCCAGCTGCAAAAGGCCACCCTACTAGGATATGCATGCATTATTCGCCGATACATCACACAGTTCTAGACAAGGAAGTGTCTGGCGTGTGATCCAATACAACAGCCAGCATAGTGATCTTGTTTGCTGTGGACTCATCTTGTTGTATATATAATAATAATAATAATAATAATAATAATAATAATAATAATAATAATAATAAATAATAATACTTTATTTGTATTCCACCCTATCTCCCTGAAGGGACTCAGGGAGGATTCCAACTACAAAAAGGCAAAGATTCAATGCTGAAATATAACAACCAATACAAATATAATAGCAAAAATAACACAACATATAGTAACGTATTATAACTTAACATATAAATTTAAATGAAGCCTAACCTATCAAATAAATTATATCAAACATAAGACAGAACAGTGAACAGAAGCATCAATTTTATCTTAAGGTCCGGACTTTCCAGGCGTTTAATTAATCCAGTTTTCTCCGCATTATTTCGGTTTTACCCGGGGCATCATTTGGATGCCTCAGGTAAAACTGAGACAGGTTCCACATTTTCAGCCTGTCTGGAAGGGCCCTAAGAAATTGAGAAGGCAAATGTACACGTTGTACTAAAGTTCAGTATCTTGTTCAATTGAGATTTTAGTTGCTTTGTTGCTTTTTAATATGGCAATTGTAATAGTAACATTTGGGCTCTGGTACAAGCTAATTCATTTGAACACTTATATCTCACCATAAGATGTTAAGTCGTTAGACAAAAAAAAACAATTTAAACAATTTAAAATAGCACAAGATCATTTAAACGGACTAAAATTATATTATGTATCTGAACAACTTAAAGCTGTTTTGAAATCATGTGTATATATAGATTTGAACAAAAATATTTGGTCCCAAAAGCTTTAATTAAAAATTTATGAACACCATACCAAGATGAAGCCAGCATCAAAATGAAAGCAGGATCTACGCCCTTGGGCTTCCAACGGAAGGATGTTCCCTAACTGGGCTGCCATACAGAGAAGGGCTTCTCCCCCATCCTCCCTGTCTAAATTTTAGACTGGAAGATTAGAACTGCATAATTAACATATTTTTTTACAGTAGCGCCCCAAGCTCTGATTCGTGAGAGTGCTGCATATATTTGGCCTTTGGACAAACTTTCAGCATGGAATAATACAATACTTTGTGAAAAACACCATGGCTGAGATCCTGCTTAGAACACACATAGCTACCTGCCTTTTGCCTGATATTATACCTATGCTTCATCTCCCAATCTGCCTAGTAAATACACACCTTAAAAGCCCCACAGGCACAATATGCGAAGGTATTCTGTGACACTGGTGAGTGGGGAACTGAAGGATGATCCGTCCAGCTCCCTCCCATCTGTGATGCACAGTGTGTCAAGCAGAAGTAGGAACCTGCATGGGGTCTTGTTGCAACGCCTCATCACATTACAGCTCACTGGCAAGAGTGAACTGGATGGATCATTCTTTAGTATCCAGCTCATCCATGCTACAGAACTCGTTTGTTTTGAAAAGTTGGTTGCCTGGTTTTTAAGGTGGGCTTTAGAGGCATTCTTGGTTAGAGCATTGGCACTATCATTGTAAATGTGAATATGAAACAATTGAGAGGTCAAAAGTCTAGATCATGGCAGCATAATTTCTTAATGAGATGCTGACCAATGTTTCCTGCCCAAACATACACATTAGGAAGCCTAAATTATTGTTTCTTATTTCCAGATCAACCGGAAGAAAATTAGAACAGTTTCAAGTTAAAGTCAACCTTGCAGCAGCTGCCAAGGTTACCTTTGAGCTGGTCTATGAGGAGCTGCTAAAACGGAAGCTGGGAAAGTATGAACTGCTAATTAAGGTCAAACCCAAACAGCTGGTTAATCACTTCCAGGTAAAGCCTGGGAAAAGGGTTTTTGCCCCACTGGACAGCCGCCCACTGGCACCACTTTAGAGCTGAAAAACATAACCCTCTTGTGCTCTTCTTTTTCCAGATCGATGTCCATATCTTTGAACCACAGGGTATAAGTTTCTTAGAGACTGAAAGCACGTTCATGACCAATGACCTGAATGACGCCCTCACAAAAGTGCAGAATGAGACCAAGGTAAATTCCATGATTCAAATGCCTTTTAATAGCTTTGAAACACCCACCCTTGTCCTTCTTCCATGCCAGATTAACAAACTCTTTTATTTCTACTTCTAACTTTCAGGCTCATATTTCATTTAAACCAACTTTAACTCAACAAAGAAAAAGCCCCGAACTGGAGGAAACTCTGCTGGATGGAGATTTTCTCATCCGCTATGATGTTAAAAGGAGTGCTACTGCAGGTGACATACAGGTAAGAGAGAAATCTCTAGTGGAAAAACCTTAGAGAAAAATCATAGAATTGCAGACTCATAGAGTTGGAAGAGACCATAAGGGCCATCCAGTCCAATCCCATACTATGCAGGAAAATACCACTAAAGCACTCCCCAAAAAACCATTAACTGATTGTTTGAGCTCAGATTCATGCAGTGATTTTTTTCCAGTGAAACCATTAGGAGAAACACTAACCTTTTATTTCATTGAGGAAATTTTAGTTACTGGGAAGGGAGGGGGGCATGTATTATTTGATTTTATATTGCATTTCGGTCCTAAAATTGGGACCCAAGGGAACTCACAATATGATTTTTGAAAACACACAGTAAGTTATACTGCTGTACATTTTTAAACAAATTAATAATACTGATTTAATATTATAATTTATTGCATGTTTAGTTGGATTTGTTTTTAGGAAGCACTGGATCTCTCAAGCACAAGCACTCAAACTGGTGAAGAAGAAACTGGTTAACAACCAGTCCCATGGCAACACAAGATGATAAAGAAACAGATCTAGTCTTCTTTGTAAAACATATTAAAATAGCTGTACTTTTATTACTTGTCTATAATGAAATATATGGTCTAATGAAGGAGAGAAAATGAAGATAAAGTTGTTGCATGTTAGAGTAACTTTTTGAAAATGGATATCATAACCTTTTGGAAAATGGCATTCATAACTTTTTGGGAAAGCCAGGAATCTTTTGGAAAGACATGACCGTGTTAGAGATCGTAACTTTTTGTAAAGTATGATCTTCCCGAGAAGAGTTAAAAACTCTCTTGAGTCAACCTTCTCCTTAGTGGTAAATATCCACTAGTATTCATGCAAGGCAATTAGGTTTCTCAGCTGTTAGACTGATATACTTAGATATCTCTTTGAGCTGTTACGAACAAAGATATGCCAATTCACAAAAACATATATAGCAGAGTTTCAGAGTTTCAGAGTTTCAGAAATATTCTTTTCAGTTGCCCAAAACATCTATTCTCCCTTAAAATATCTTGGTTTAAATCATGCTCTCAAGAGACCAAATAACATAGTTGGTTTAGTCACAAACTTCATGTATTCAGCATACAGGTACATTGCATATCAATCCAGTTACAGATAGTATTGAAGTAGTTTCTCTATGCAGAAAACACAGGGCATCTTTCGTATAATCAACAGTCCAAAGTCTAAAGCATCTCTCTATTCTGAGAGTCTAATACTGTTTCTAAAATAGAGTCTGAGATCCGAATAGTTCTAGATCTGATCACATGGTCTGCAGCCCCTCCCACAACTTAGAGTTAAGGAAAACTGCATACACATATACAATACAGTAAGCAACAAATAATTTGTATAGGAGGCTTGTAGAAGGTTGCGATTTCCAACCGTAACACAGAGAAAAAAACAGGAAGTCACTACAGATATATGTTATTAACTTCAAATTATCAAGGTTGTGAACCATAATTGCCTCCAGTAATACAAATCAATGATGTTTGGGAGCGGGTGTCCTTAGACTTAAAAACAAAGTGCTCTGGCTGCTTTGATTATAAGCAGGAACACCTGTACTTTTCATACAGCAGGCCTTTGCGCATGTGAAATTCCTGGCTGATATGAGGAAAGATTTCTGAAGTGAAATAGAAACTCTAATCACTGTATATATATATGCCAGCTACCCATACTTCCATGAACTCTTATTCCGTGTGATATTGCATCACACGGGAAACTCATCACTGATTATTTTTGTTTGTTTCAGATTGTGAATGGGTATTTTGTGCATTATTTTGCTCCCAGTCAAATGTCAACATTTCCCAAAAACATCATCTTTGTTATAGATAAAAGTGGTTCTATGTTTGGCAAGAAAATCCAGCAGGTAATTGTTATTACAGGAAACTCCATCGGCTGTTTACTCATTCTGTTTTTGCTACACTAAGCATGGTCTAAAGCAGTGGCTCTCAACCTGTGGGTCCCTAGTTGTTTGGACCTTCAACTCCCAGAAATCCTAACAGCTGGGATTTCTGGGAGTTGTAGGCTATAATGAAACTCAAAGATATCTCTGGCAGGGGGGAACAAAGAATCCCACCGCTGCCACCAGTATAACGAAAATTAAAGCGCCACACAGCTTGGGCAGGGTGGTCAAACAATCCCACCTCTGACACCAAAGCAAGGGATGATAAAGTATTATAAATGACCGATGTTATTGGTAGTATTAGCCGCCACCACCTCAGCTTTATTGGCCTGAGGAACCAAAGGTGTGAATGTGTTGTAGGTAAGGTGTTTTTGCCCTGGGTTTTCCTATTGCTTCTTAATTGGCTGACTGGACTTTAAAAGTGCTTGACAAACTGAAGCTGACACCAGTTAAAAGTGAACTAGAAAAGGTTTATTGAGTTTTAAACAAACATCTACTCATAGAATGAGCGGTACAGAAGCGTAATTCAGTTGCTGAGACTTAGTTGTATTAAACAGTTAGTTCTATTGACCAAAAAGCTTTTAAACCTGTGAGTTTCCTTAAACACACTGTTCTATCCTTAGAAACAGTAACTCTTAGAGAACAGACTCCTGTCTGTCTCACACACAGGGCAATAAGATATCTTAAACTTCTCCTAAGTTTAATAAGACAAAACTCTCTTTTACTGGTCCACTCAACACAGTAAAACCCTAGCCTTTGTCTCAACCTTATTCCCTAACCTTAAGGCTCACTTTCTAGCTTTCTTTCCTGTCAGAACTCTATTTTAGCTTCCTCTCCTAAAATCCTATCCTTCTGTGTCTGATGTTAAGACACTTCACTCTCTGTCAAAAGCTGACAGCTTTTTCCCTCTCTCAACCGACTCCTCCCCCAATTGCTCTACCCAATCAGGAGTCGGCTTGACTCCTCCTCCTGCTACTGCCTGTCTTCCAAGATGACAGCTACTGATATTCAGGCTTCGGCCTGGTCGCCCAAAAGGTAGATTTCACTACATAGGCTCACTGGTTGAGAACCACTGGTCTAAAGGCTAACAACCACAAGAGTGCGTCCCTTTTGAAATAATTCTAGTGAAGCTTGGTTTATTAGCTACTCCCACCTTCCTCCATCATCGAGACCACAGAATCAAGAAAGTACTGTGTGTATGTAACAGGGATGTGAAGAATTTTTTAAAAAAAATTGAAATAATAGTTGAAGAACATGTTTCTTGAATATCCCAATGAGAAGAATCCTGGACTGAGGAAATTCATTACAGTTTAGGACTTATTTTATGTAAAATTTGCACATGATTCTTTTGAACATAAAACAGAATTTTCAGTGCAGGAAACATATTTGGCATTTTCATTTTGCACATAAAATGCTGTTTTCTGCAATCATATGGAAATTTTGGTAGAAAATCAGTTCTGCACTGTGAAAACTATTTCCTGTTATATGAGTTAACTTAAAAGAGGAGGAGTAGCAGTATATAGTTATAGAGTGCCTCTCATAATTCTTGGCATTACTATAGGAAAGAACATTTCAAGAGAGAATAACATCTCATTTCATGCAATACTCATGGTCCATGGTGGTGGAGGGAGAAAGTTTAGTTCTGGGGCCACACACAGCTCTTAAGGCACTTTTTTTGGCCCTTGTCCCCGCCAGACTCCACCAACCACTCTTTCCTGCCTCATTCCAAAACAGTGAACTGTTTTTCTTGGAAAATGGGGACAATGGCAAGGCATCTTCTCAAAAAGTAGCAATGCCAATCCTGTTTTTTCAGTCGAGACCTCCAGCTAGTTCTTCCTTGGGGAGGGGAGCATATTTTGGTAACATGTATGAACCTCAATTGCTCCAAGACAGAAGAGTGGCCTCAAGGCAGCTGCAGATGTCACCCATGCTTAAAGTCTGGAATTCACTGCTGTTCATTCGTTCAGTCGTCTCCGACTCTTCGTGACCTCATGGACCAGTCCACGCCAGAGCTCCCTGTCGGCCGTCACCACTCCCAACTCCTTCAAGGTCAGTCCAGTCACTTCAAGGATGCCATCCATCCATCTTGCCCTTGGTCGACCCCTCTTCCTTTTACCTTCCACTTTCCCCAGCATAATTGTCTTCTCTAGGCTTTGCTGTCTCCTCATGATGTGGCCAAAGTACTTCAACTTTGTCTCTAGTATCCTTCCCTCCAATGAGCAGTCCGGCTTTATTTCCTGGAGGATGGACTGGTTGGATCTTCTCGCAGTCCAAGGCACTCTCAGACTTTCCTCCAACACCACAGCTCAAAAGCATCTATCTTCCTTCGCTCAGCCTTCCTTAAGGTCCAGCTCTCACATCCGTAGGTTACTACAGGGAATACCATGGCTTTGACTAGGCGGATCTTTGTTGCCAGTCTGATGTCTCTACTCTTTACTATTTTATCGAGACTGGACATTGCTCTCCTCCCAAGAAGTAAGCGCCTTCTGATTTCCTGGCCACAGTCTGCATCTGCAGTAATCTTTGCACCTAGAAATACAAAGTCTGTCACGGCCTCCACATTTTCTCCCTCTATTTCCCAGTTGTCAATCATTCTTGTTGCCATAATCTTGGTTTTTTTGATGTTTAGCTGCAACCCAGCTTTTGCGCTTTCTTCTTTCACCTTGATTAGAAGGCTCCTCAGCTCCTCCTCGCTTTCGGCCATCAGAGTGGTGTCATCTGCATATCTGAGGTTGTTAATGTTTCTTCCAGCAATTTTTACCCCAGCTTTGCATTCATCAAGCCCCGCACATCGCATGATGTGTTCTGCATACAAGTTAAAAAGGTTGGGTGAGAGTATGCAGCCTTGCCGTACGCCTTTCCCAATCTTGAACCAGTCTGTTGTTCCGTGGTCAGTTCTTACTGTTGCTACTTGGTCCTTGGACAGATTCCTCAGGAGAGAGACAAGGTGGCTTGGTATGCCCATCCCACCAAGAACTTGCCACAATTTATTATGATCCACACAGTCAAAGGCTTTAGAATAGTCAATGAAGCAGAAATATATGTTTTTCTGAAACTCCCTGCCTTTCTCCATTATCCAGCGGATATTGGCAATCTGGTCTCTCGTTCCTCTGCCTTTTCTAAACCCAGCTTGAACATCTGGCAACTCTCGCTCCATGTATTGCTGGAGTCTTCCTTGCAGGATCTTGAGCATTACCTTACTGGCATGAGAAATAAGGGCCACTGTACGGAAGTTTGAGCAGTCTTTCGCATTTCCCTTTTTTGGTATGGGGATATAAGTTGATTTTTTTCAGTCTGATGGCCATTCTTGTGTTTTCCATATTTGCTGGCATATGGCATGCATCACCTTGACAGCATCATCTTTTAAGATTTTAAACAGTTCAGCTGGGATCCCGTCGTCTCCTGCTGCCTTGTTGTTAGCAATGCTTCTTAAGGCCCATTCAACCTCACTCCTCAGGATGTCTGGTTCTAATTCATTCACCACACCATCAAAACTATCCTCGATATTATTATCCTTCCTATACAGATCTTCTGTATAGTCTCGCCACCTTCTCTTGATCTCTTCAGCTTCTGTTAGGTCCCTGCCATCTTTGTTTCTTATCATACCAATTTTTGCCTGAAATTTACCTCCAGTGTTTCTAATTTTCTGGAAGAGGTCTCTTGTCCTTCCTATTCTGTTGTCTTCTTCCACTTCCATGCATTGCTTATTTAAAAATAGTTCCTTATCTCTTCTGGCTAACCTCTGGAATTGCGCATTTAACTGGGCATATCTCCCCTTATCACTGTTTCCTTTTGCTTTCCTCCTTTCTTGGGCTACTTCCAGTGTCTCAGCAGACAACCATTTTGCCTTCTTGGTTTTCTTTTTCTTTGGGACGTACTTTGTTGCCGCCTCCTGAACAATGTCGCGGACTTCTGTCCATAGTTCTTCTGGGACTCTGTTTACTAAATCTAGTCCTTCAAATCTGTTCTTCACGTCCACTGTATATTCGCTAGGAATGTTAGTGAGATCATATCTAACTGGTCTGTGTATTTTCCCTGATCTCTTTAGTTTTATTCTAAATTGAGCAATAAGAAGTTCGTGATCTGAGCTACAGTCAGCCCCAGGTCTTGTTTTCACCAACTGGATGGATGTCCGCCACCTTTGGCTGCAAAGGATGTAGTCAATCTGATTTCGGTGTTGACCATCTGGTGAGGTCCATGTATAAAGCCGTCTTTTAGGTTGTTGGAAGAGAGTATTCGTTATACACAGCGAGTTTTCCTGGCAAAATTCTATCAGCCTGCGTCCCGCTTCATTTTGTTCTCCAGACCATGCTTGCCTGTGATCCCAGTTGTCATTTGACTTCCCACCTTGGCATTCCAGTCTCCTGTAATGAAAATAATGTCTCTTTTTGGTGTATTATCCAGTAGGTCCTGCAGATCCTCATAGAACTGATCTACTTCTGCTTCTTCAGCAGCTGTGGTTGGGGCGTATATTTGGATCACTGTAATGTTGAAAGGCTTTCCTTGCACTCGAATTGAGATCATTCTGTCATTTTTTGGGTTGTATCCAAGCACTGCTTTAGCGAATTTCTTATTAATTATGAAGGCTACTCCATTTCTTCGATGTTCCTCTTGTCTGCAGTAGTAGATCTGGTGGTCATCTGATGTGAAGTGGCCCATTCCAGTCCATTTCAGTTCGCTGACCCCCAGAATTTCTATCTTTAGTCTTGACATCTCACCAATAACAACATCCAATTTGCCCTGGCTCATAGATCTTATATTCCAGGTTCCTATGGTGTGTTGATCTTTAGAGCATCGGATTCGTCGTTCACCTCCAGTACCGTCGGCCGCTAGCCTTCCTTTCGGCTTTGAGCTAGCTGCGTCATCACATCTGGGGCTAGTTGAACTTATCCTCTGCTCCTCCCCAGTAGCATTTTGGCCATCTTCCGACCTGGGAGTCCCATCTTCCAATGGCATACCGACATATCTCTGGTTGTACTGGTCCATTTAGTTTTCTTGGCAAGGATACTGGGGTGGTTTGCCATTGCCTTCCCCAGGGATCACGCTTGGTCTGACCTCTCTGCCACGACCGTCCTGTCTTGGGTGACCCTTCACGGTTTCGCTCATGACATCATTGAGGTGCTCAAGCTCCAGCGCCACAACAAGGCGGCAATCCTTTGCTGGAGCTGGAATTCACAGAAGATCAAAATTTAAGATGATGTCCAAAGCTAAGAAGCTATCTCCAGCATATTCAAGGCCAGGTGTCCATTATTTACAGCAATATAAATAATTTAAAATTGATTAAAATGTAGCACACTCATCCCATGAAAAAGACATTCTACTTATCCAATTAATCTGTATTTCTAAATACTTTATAAGTAAAGAGCTTTGGCTGTTAGCAAAGGCAGAGCAGAGAGAGAGCCAGACTAGCTTCTCGGGTAAGGCAATTCCACCATTTGAGAATAGCCACTGAACAGGATCTCTCATGTCAGAACTAAAAGGAAATAAAGACTAGGCTAGGGAGAAACAGGGTGTTTCCACATTACACAGGCTCCATCTACACTGCCATATAATGTAGTTTCATAATGCAGTTCAACTGCATTGAACTGCATTATATGACAATGTAGACTCATATAATGCAATTGAACTGCATTATATGACTGCGTAGACTCATATAATGCAGTTTAACTGCATTGAATTTCATTATATGAGCCTACACTGAACATACAATATAGTTTCAAATGGGATTGTGTGGCAGTGTTGATGGACCCACAGTTACAGTGCTAGGATTCTGCATGGCTGAATCCTATAGAATCTTCAGGTCTGTAGTTTCAGAAGGCAATAGAGCTCTATGACTGAGAATTTAAGTATCTTGTTGCCTAAATTGCAAATTTCAGAATTCCATAGGGAAAAATCATGGAAGTTAATGTGGTGCTAAAATGCATAGTGTGAAGGGCACCAAAGTCTTTCAGAATGCTGAATCTAAGCTGTATTTTTCTAGAACAAATCAAAATATTAACCCCAATTTGAAATTGTATTATGGCATTATTCTGCCTTCTTCCAATTTCCGGAGCTTTTAGCCATAATTTGATGGCTCAGTTAAGTAAAATCCTTTAGATGCCTGCCTATTAATCAATTATATGAAATCTGAATCCTACCAGAATGCACATTAGACTTCACAATCTGACTACAACTATGTGCTAGAAAATTATATCCTACTTTTCTCATTTCCACAGACAAAGGAAGCCCTGCAAAAGATTTTAGATGATCTGAACCCTGAGGATCATTTTAACCTGGTTGTCTTTAGTGGACATATTTCTGAGTGGCAGCCATCTCTGTTGATAGCCAGAGAAGAGAACGTGGAACTGGCTAAACAATATGTTCGTACTATTTCAGCACAGGGAGGTAAATCTGTAGATTGAGTAGGCAAGTCAAGATTCCCCATATATCCCAAAAATGCATAGATTTAATTCCTTTAAGTTTTTTTTTTTGCTGCTGTTGACTATATATGCTATCAGTTTTGTCTTCATCTCTTCCTGCATGTGATTTTTAATTTTGCTCTGAATTATTGAGGGCCCTTCTACACAGGCCTAAAACTTGAGCTAAAACACGGGAACAGATGATGTTTCCAGCTAATCAGTTTCAAACTGGAGTAAACCAAATTCACTCGGTTTAATCCAGGTTCTAAAAACACCTGTAAATAGCTTCTGCAGTCCTGGGAGTCAGTCCCCACAGCCATCCCGCTTCTTTGGGCTCCCCAAAGTCTGGAGGAGCAAGATGTCACCCCTCTCCCCTCTCAGCCCCCCATTCCCTTCTCCAAAACTTATCTGGAAAGCTCTGTAGTCATGTCAGAATGACATTTCAGAAGGTGTGTGTGTGGGGGGGGGGGGGTTCTGATCCAACTATAGAGCTCTTCAGAGGGGCCTGTGCAGCTGGCTGGCCCCTTGGGTATAAGTTTCGGTGGTGGGAATAGGAAGGCTGGAGATAGGGCTGGATGCCCTCCTGGGTCAATCTTTGGTTTACCCGGGATGTCATCTACTCCCCCCCCCCCAAAGGGAAAGTCCGGATTTGGGAGTTGGAGTGGGAACAAAGTCCCAAGAGGAATCAGAATTTTATATTCCAATTTCTCTCAGGACTTCCATATGTCTCAAAGAGTCTTGAGTTTATTAATTCAATCCTGCAAATATTTAATTTTTAGTTTACATTTTGATTTCAATACTTATGTAAGGTATATGAACAAACATTTTCTTTTTTTCTTCGTGTTTTGAGGTTACTTTCTTTCTTTTTTGCTTTTGATTTAAGCTTCTATAATTTATTTAAGTACATTTCTTTTGTCATTCCATCATATCTGGTTTATTCAATCCTTTTGGGCTTTCTCCATAACTTAGAAGTTTCCTCTGTACAGAGCTTTGATGAACAGCCCAATTCAATGGTAACATTAACTATGGTTTCTTCTCTTTCACAGGAACAGATATAAATGGTGCACTTCTAGCTGCAATAAATTCACTGGACAAAGCCACTTCTGCTGAATTGTTGCCAGAGCAAAGTATTTCAATGATTGTGTTGCTGACAGATGGTCAACCTACTGTTGGTAAATTAGCAATAGCAGCATAACTCATTTTCTTTCTCTTTTCATATATCTATATATAGTTACAGGTATATAAATAGATCCAACCAGTCCATACTTCAGGAAATAAAGCCCGACAGCTCATTGGAGGGAAGGATATTAGAGGCAAAGATGAAGTACTTTGGCCACATAATGAGAAGACAGGAAAGCTTAGAGAAGACAATTTTGCTGGGGAAAATGGAAGGAAAAATGAAGAGAGGCTAACCAAGGGATCGATGGTATCCTTGAAGGGACTGGCTTGACCTTGAAGTAGCTGGGGATGGCCACGGCTGGCACGTAGCTCTGGGGTGGGCTGGTCCATGAGGTCACAAAGAGTTGGAAGCGACTGAATGAATGAACAACACATCATATAAATAGATACACACACACACATATCATAGAGTTTGACAAGACCACAAGGGTCATCCAATCCAACTCCCTGCCATGCATATATATGCACTGTCTCGCAGACATATTTATTTATATTTTATTTATTTATTTATTTATTTCTTGCATTTATTAACCGCCGCTCTCAGCCCTAGGGCGACTCGCGGCGGTGTACAGTACAAAAGACACTTACAAAAAATCAGAACAACAACTAACATCATTAATACATAACATCTTAATTACACTAAAAATCCGCTTCGTCATATTATGGAATCGTAATCAATCTCGTAGTCATAGTTCGTTCCGGTTGTCTTTACTAGTAACCTAGCACTTAGTTGAAAGCCTGCTCAAAGAGCCAAGTCTTCAGGCCCTTACGAAAGGCCATGAGGGAGGGGGCCTGTCTAACGTCAGCAGGGAGGGAGTTCCACAGCCGGGGGGCTACCACCGAGAAGGCCCGCTCCCTCGTCCCAGCCAAACGTGCCTGTGAGGCAGGCGGGATCGAGAGAAGGGCCTCCCCGGATGATCTCAAGGTCCTCGTGGGCTCGTAGGCCAAGATGCGGTCCGCAAGGTATTTTGGGCCGGAACCGTTTAGGGCTTTGTAGGATAACACCAGCACCTTAAATTGGGCCCGGTAGCAGATCGGCAGCCAGTGGAGCTGGACAACAAGGGCGTTGTGTGCTCCCTGCGTCCCGCTCCTGTTAGTAACATGGCTGCCGCGCGCTGGACTAGCTGAAGCTTCCGGGCTGTCTTCAAGGGCAGCCCCACGTAGAGAGCGTTGCAGTAGTCAAGACGGGATGTGACCAGAGCGTGTACCACCGTGGCCAAGTCAGACTTCCCGAGATACGGGCGCAGCTGGCGCACGAGCCGAAGCTGTGCAAATGCTCCCCTGGTCACCGCTGAAACCTGGGGATCCAGGCTCAACGATGAGTCCAGGGTCACACCCAAGCTGCGAACCTGCGCCTTCAAGGGGAGTGCGACCCCATCCAGCACAGGCTGTAACCCTATACCCTGTTCAGCCTTGCGACTGACCAGGAGTACCTCTGTCTTGTCTGGATTTAATTTCAGTTTGTTCGCCCTCATCCAGACCATTACAGCGGCCAGGCACCGGTTCAGGACCTCGACAGCCTCCTTAGTAGCAGGTGGAAAGGAGTGACAGAGTTGGTCATCATCTGCGTACAGATGACACCGCACCCCGAAACTCCGGATGATCTCACCCAGCGGCTTCATGTAGATATTAAACAGCATGGGGGACAGGATAGAACCCTGAGGAACCCCACAGGTCAAAGGCTGCGGAGTTGAACAGGAGTCCCCCAATAACACCTTCTGGGTCCGACCCTCCAGGAATGATTGGAGCCACTGCAGAGCAGTGCCCCCAAGACCCATTCCCGCAAGGCGCCCCAGAAAGATACCGTGGTCGACGGTATCGAAGGCCGCTGAGAGGTCCAGGAGCACCAACAGGGACACACTCCCCCTGTCTAGCTCCCGGCGCAGATCATCCACTAAGGCGACCAAGACCGTCTCGGTACCATGTCCCGGTCTGAAACCAGACTGTGCCGGATCCAGAATATCCGTGTCTCTCAAGAATACCTGGAGTTGTGAGGCCACCACGCTTTCCATGACTTTGCCCAAAAAGGGGAGATTGGAAACAGGCCGAAAGTTGTCAAATTTGGTGGGGTCCAGTGATGGTTTCTTCAACAGCGGCTTTATAATAGCCTGTTTTAGGCTCGCTGGAATCTTGCCTTCCCGAAGGGAGGCATTAACCACCACCGTTACCCACTCAGCCAATCCCCCTCTGGCCTCCTTCAGAAGCCAGGATGGGCAGGGGTCTAGGATGGACGTGGTGGGCCTCATTCCTCCAAGTATCTTGTCCACATCCCTCGGGCTTCACAAACTGAAAAGAATCCATCAAAATAGGACAAGCAGGTGCTCGTGTCACATCCACAGAGACTGCATTTAACATGGTGTCCAGCCCAGAACGGATCAAAGCGACTTTGTCTGCAAAAAACCGAGCAAATGCTTCACAGCGCGTGGCCGAATTGTCAGGGCTCCCACCTGAGGTGGTGGGAGTCAAAAGACCTCTGACAATCCGAAACAGCTCCGCCGGACGGTTTTTTGCAGACGCAATAGTGGCCGCAAAGAAAGTTTTCTTTGCGGCTTTTATTGCCGCGGCATATGCCCTTAAAAAGGACACAAACCGTGTTCGATTTGGCTCGCTTGGGTCCGAGCGCCACACGCTCTCTAGTTCCCTCTTCCTTCGCTTCATCGCTGCCAACTCCTCAGTGAACCAAGGAGATGGTTTAGCTCGGTTACTTGAGAGGGGACGTTCCGGAGCGATCATGTCAATTGCCCTGGCCATCTCCCCATTCCAGAGAGCGACCAAGGCCTCGACATGGTCACCTGCCGAGGTGGCGGGAAAGTCCCCAAGAGCCGTCAGGAATCCATTCGGATCCATAAGCCTCCTGGGGCGGACCATCTTAATGGGTCCTCCACCTTTGCGGAGGTTGGGGGGCGCAGTGAGTCTAAATCTGATCAGGAAGTGGTCAGTCCACGGCAACGGAGAGATGGACAACTCCTCCACACCGCCACCCTGCTCCCATCCCTGGCAGAAAACCAAGTCCAATGTATGTCCAGCACAGTGGGTGGGGCCAGTTATTCGTTGGGACAGCCCCATGGTTGCCATGGCGGACATGAAGTCCTGAGCCGCTCCTGTGAGGGTTGTCTCGGCATGGATGTTGAAGTCCCCCAGCACAAGAAGCCGTTGGGACTCCAACGCCAGGCTCGAGACCACCCCCGCTAGCTCAGGTAGGGAGACTGTAGTGCAGCGAGGTGGACGGTACACTAACAGAATCCCTATTCTGTCCCGGTCACCCACCCTCAGGTGGACGCATTCAAAATTTGTGGTCTGCGGGATGGGGCTCCTGGTCAGATGGATGGAATCTCTATAGACCACTGCGACCCCGCCTCCCCGTCCTCCGGATCTCGGTTGGTGCTGTACGGAGAAACCTGGAGGGCAAAGCTGGGTCAGATTTACACCTCCAGCTTCATCCAACCAGGTCTCCGTAATGCACGCCAGATCTGCCCGCTCCTCCAGGATTAAGTCCTGAATCCAGGTCGTTTTTCCGTTGACAGATCTGGCGTTCAGCAGCACCACCTTCAATCCCGAGGGCCCGCTCACCTGGTTACACCAATATACCTTAGGAGACCGGTTGGGAATTGTTAATTTAGATAAACGGTCCGAATTAGGCCGAATTCGAGGTCTCCTTCTTCCGCATCTCCTCCTTCCCACCACGACCTCTATGGGGGCCCCTCGGCTAGTGGAACACCATATATATGTTAAGTGTTAATACATACATATCAACATTACATTAGCATCATTAAAAACAATATGAACTATTTTATTATCTGATATATCCATATTCCTTCCACTCAACAGTCTACAACAGTGGTGGCGAACCTATGGCACATGTGTCAAAAGGGGCACACAGCACAGCGCCCTCTCTCCTGGCACATGGACCATCGCCCCCTGATCGCTTGCTCACTTGCCTGCTTGCTCACCCCCTCTGCTCGCCCACCCTCTGCCTGCTACCTGCCCATCACCCATCTGCCATCCACCCCTTATTTGCTCGTTGCCCACCAGCTAGCCCCTGTTAATTGCTCAGCGCTTGCCTCCAGTCCGCCCCCCACTCACCCCCGTGCTCCTCACCCCCCATCACTGGTTGTCCATCACTGGTCTACAGTATCAAAACCATCCTCAAAGTTTCTCTTGCTAAAAAAGTAAAAATACAGGCTTCTTGAGACACTATTGACATAACCATGTACATGACAGAGATTTAACTATGTAGAAAAATCTGTATTAGATAAAAGGAAGGAGAGAAAAGAAGAAATGAAAAAGGAAGGGCCGATCTTTTTTATTCTTTATATGTGTCCACAGATTGCTTCATGAATGATCTTTCATGGATTTATCTGTGTATTCCATTTCTTCTTTGTGTTTGCTCGTTTCCTTAGCTTTTAATATCCATATATCTATGTTGGGTTTACTTTTGTCTTTCTGTTCATACACTATGTGCCTTTTAAAAACCGACCCAGTTCAGTTATTTGTATTTCAAAATCAACACACACACAATTTATTTTTATATATTCTGCAGTATGTTTGCATATTTATCCTTGTCATGTGATAGAGCCTAATTACCAGCATAGGTAATTGCTTTTATAAAATACATTTGGAGAAAGAAATCCAAAGCCCTCCCAGGATGCATCTACACTATATAATTAATGCCATGGCTTAATGCTATGGATTCATGGGAATAGTTTTACAATATCATAAGCCTTTTCTTCCAAAAAGGCTTAGTGTCTCAGCCAATGAAACATCCCAGGAGTCCATACCATTGAGCCATGGCAGTTAAATTGATGTCAATCTGCATTAATTCTACACAGTAGGGGCACCACCAGTGTCCATACAATCCCACATACTCATTCATAATCTGGAGCTGGTGTAACTGTTGCAATTTTATCAAACTGGGATCAGGAAGCAAAGCCCTTTGTCCCTTCCACATTGCTGTAGTGAGCCCAAAAAGGCTGCGGATTGGGTGTCCATCCACTTGATAATCTTTTCACTATAGTCAGGAAGAACATTCTGTATATAATTTTTACACAAGCATACTTTGGAGAAAATCCCAGTGAATTCAATGGAGGATATATTTCTAAGCAGACAAGTCTATGATTGCATTGTTAGCTGCTAAGCATTCATTAGTGGTTTGCTGTTAATAGTCTTCATTAATGGTTGTTTGTTAATTGGGCATGGGAGTGATATCTAAATTATGTGTTATGTTGCACTAAAGTTGAATTTAGAACTTGTGTTACATTATCTAAGATATGTTTGCATTTTTTTAAAAAAATGATAGGTGAAATAAATGTCAGGAGTATTGAAACAAACATAAAGAGGGCTAATGATGGAAAATACTTCCTCTTCTGCCTTGGATTTGGTTTTGATGTCAGCTATACATTCCTGGAGAAACTGGCCTTGGAGAACCGAGGCATTGCTCGTCGTATATATGAGGACTCGGATGCAGCCTTGCAGCTCCAGGTATAATAAAAGCATGGTGTTATAATTAATTCTATATAATAATGTATTAATGTATTGTCCAAGGCTTTCATGGCTGTAATCACTGGGTTGTTGTATTTTTTTTCGGGCTGTATGGCCATGTTCTAGAAACATTCTCTCCTGACATTTTGCCTGCATCTATGGCAAGCATCATCAGAGGTTGTGAGGTCTGTTGGAAACTAGGAAAATTGGGTTTATATATCTGTGGAAAGTCCAGGGTGGTAGATAGAACTCTTGTCTGTTGGAGCTAAGTGTGAATGTTTCAATTGGCCACCAACAGACAAGTGCTCTTTCTCCCACCTTGGACTTTCCACAGACATATAAACCCAATTTTCCTAGTTTCCAACAGACCTCCCAGCCTCTGAGGATGCCTGCCATAGATGGAGCCAAAACCTCAGGAGAGAATGCTTCTAGAACATGGCCATACAGCCCGAAAAACCTACAACAACCCAATCATGTATTAGCCAGCCATACATTTGCCTATGTAGATCTAGATCAAGCTCTTTAGAGCTAGAATTATTTAATTAGATGACTATAATACCTATTTTAAAATTAATTATTCACCTAGAAGGTTTCTATATTTTCCCGACTGCAAAAGATTTCTTCCTATGGTTGACTCTTTTGCCTGTTTCCTTCAAGGACTTTTACCAGGAGGTTGCTACTCCCATCCTAAAGGAAATTGCAATGACGTACCCAGACAATGCAGCCCTGGAGATCACACGGAACAATTTCAAGGTGCTCTTTGAGGGCTCAGAAATTGTCGTAGCTGGAAAACTTAGTAATGAAGTTGATGTTCTTCCTGTGGAAATTAAAGCTCAGGCAGTAAGTATTATCCTATTTTTCCATGAATGGGGGACTATGAAGGGGACACAATAAATTATTATATCTGTGATAACTATCCAGTCATCTACTTTCTTGTTCAACAGCAGTGGAAATGGTAGTTTCTTGTATCCATTTTTCTATTGTGTCTTTTCTTGAGCCTATTTATGTGGGCTACAAAATCTAGAGTTGGTTCAAAGCATTGCTGCTATAGAGTTTACATTGAACTTCTCCCAACTATAGCAGTGGCAGGATTGGAGTCTTAACCATTCAGTCTACCTGAGCCTGGATGGACACCCTTACCTATGTCATTTTTCCTGACTGCCTGTTACCGCCTGAGCAACTTGGAAAAGGGAGGAAAGGAGGGAAATGATCTCCCTCCTCTTTCCAAATCACTTGGGCGTGTTGGCTGATATTGGCAAAGATCCTCAACAATGGCTGGGAGCAATTGCTGATTTTGACAGAAGTGGGAGGATCCAAGAGGATCACATACCCTCTCTCCATTACTGCAGATAGCACTTACTTTATTTCTAATGTTTACAGCTTGGCCATGATTACAGCAATTTACTGCCATGGTTAGAGGACCACAGTTTGACTGAATCTGCGTTGATGTTTTTATATGTACATGTGTTTTGTTCTATTGTATTTTATATTGTGCTCACTCTTATGTTGTTTTAGGCACTTTGTGCCATCTGTAAGACACCCTGAGTCCCTTCGGGGAGATAGTTGCAGGATATAAAAATAAAATAATAATAATAATAATAATAATAATAATAATAATAATTATGACCAAAAGCGTTTTCATTGAAAGTGCCGTTTGACTCATTTGTAAGAATTGTTAATTCAGAATTTGGCTGGAGTGTTTTCTTAATTTGTTATTTAGTTTTTTCAATACAGTCAATTCTTCTCGCGTTTTTAAAATGCTGTTGAAGGAAGATAAATATTAGTTAAATCACCTTTAAGTGCGGTATGTAGTAGAACAAGATTTACTTTCTTCCTCCTTCTCCATCATGCCAACAACACTGTATTACTTTCCCTCCTGAACCTGTTCTGGAGTGGGTCATAAGTCTTTGGAGCAGGTTTTGGCAGTGAGAGATTTGCCCGAGGGACCATTGTACCCCATTCTTGGTTTGGCTGCTCTATCAGTAGGATAACAACCATTGTCTCCCATTATCCGATCAGGTGCTACTATGAATAATCCACTCATCTCTCCCCTACAGCTTTCCAGTTACCTGACTCTTAAGGAAGATGCAAATGTAACAGAAAAGGAGCAAATATTTCAACATCAGGAATACATATTTGGAGACTTCATAGAGAGACTGTGGGCCTACCTAACGATTCAACAACTATTAGAACAATCGTAAGAAAATACTATGCTTGTCTTGCTTTTCAAAGAAAGGGTTATGTGCTCTAAGTTTACAGGAGATAATTTCAAAGCAGAGGTAAAACAATGCTGACATTTTCCCAGGGAATTCCATTGCATCCTCGTGTCACTAAAAGGGAGTACATATTTGAAACACAAAATCAGGACTTTTGAAGCATGTAATTCTTTTTATCTGATCTAAACTAGCTGTAAGTTTTTTACTACTTCCAAAGCAGGATTCCTAAAACATACACGCCTCAGTAGTCAGACCTACAAATTAAGTTTATGCTTTATCTTACAGTAGTCCATCACAGCAAATTATTTTACTTACTTAGGCAATCCCTCATAGCTCGAGGATGATTGTCTTCCAGATGTGGTGTCTTGGCGGAGGGTCCGTAGTGGCTGTGGAGCCCTATTCTTGATCCGCATGTTTTCCCACAGCGAGGACATCAGTTTCCAGATGGAAGGTGGTCCTGGTCAGGGTTGGCTTGATGTGCCTTCCTCTTGGAAAATTTCTCCCTTTCGCCCTCCATTCATGCCTCTTTGAATTCTGCAGCACTGCTGGTCACAGCTGACCTCCAGTTAGAGCATTGAAGGGCGAGGGCTTCCGAGTACTGTGTCTGTCACAGTTTTTGAGGTTGGCTTTAAGCCAAGTATGCTGAAGGAATAAAGTGTAGGTGGGGAAAATCATGTGTTATGTCAAACATCTTTCATCACATGGAGAATCATCCATGTGACAGCAACAATACAACCCTCCCCAAAAGGCATCATTTACTTCATGCCTTGAAGTAGAGATTAAATAATCAAATGATGCTCATGTTTCATTTTAGTGTTTTAGTTAAAGAAGAAGAGCAGAAAACCCTGGAAACCAAAGCTTTGAACCTCTCTTTGAAGTTTAACTTTGTTACCCCTCTAACTTCCATGGTGGTCACTAAACCTGAAGCTGAAGAAGTGGCAAACAAACCTACAGAAGCAGGTAAGTGAGCAGAAGATGTGTCAACATAGAAGAAATACAATAGATTGTAGCACATTCTTCTAAGTACCCGTTTGTATGTATGTATGTATGTGGATGTGGGGATGAGAAGAGTGGGTCTTAATACAGAAACAAGAATAAATCTAAGTGCTTCCCATTTTGGGGTGAATTGGAATGTCACTCTCAATACAAATATTTTATTGATGTTGTACAAATTTATTATTTGGCAAATGGTTACAGTGAAATAATGATCACACTTTTAAATATGATACCTGGTCTAGCTTGGCAACATCAGCAACGGAAATGGATTATTCTCAAATGGGGATCTGCACAATACATACAAGGCTCAGTATGTTCCACCAAACAGCAACAATGTTAACAGATTTCTAACTGAGAAGGAAGTGGCATTTTCATTTAACAAGTTCTAAACTGCATTCCATTATGGCTTGGCTCCGTGGGCAGTGCTTTTGCATGTGCAAATCTGGGCTCCCAGTTTTTGCAGGTCACACCTGATCTTTGTGTCGTATCTGATATTTTTCTGGGGCGAGGGTGCTTGAGTGAGTAACTAAATGTGCCAAAATCAGCTGCTTCAACTTGCAAGAGTTTTCCATTGACTTAATTTGTCTTACTTCCAAAAGCAATCCATTTAGGCCTCTGGCAAAAGCAATGTAAAGTAGATGCAAACATGGAGAAAGTTTTAAGTAAGGTGAACAGTAGGATTTGCTGTATAATAAGACTGATGTTCCTTATGTCCTTGTTTCTTTCTCCAGATAATGAGAAACTCGGAAGACATGGAATTCCAGGTAGTATGCAATCTCTATTTGCGATCCAATACCAGCAGTTTATTCCTAACACTTTGTATTACTAGAAAAATAACTCTGGAAATATCTTACAGTGTATGCCACATCAGGATCCAGCCAGTCAGCGCATCATTTCAGAGGAGGAGGTATTCTTAACAACATCTTGTCCTAAATAATAAGTACAGGCAATATGTGTGCTGAGGCAAACGATCCCTTCACCTGGAAAATTATATTACAAACCTCCTTGTTTTAAGTTTCCAAATCTTTAATTAAATATAAACTTGATGAAAACTAAGAGTCCAATCTGCGTATACAAATAGTAGCTCAAAACTATTTTTAAAATTTAAAAAGTATTTTGAATGTGGGGGGAGATAGGGAGAGTTGAAGGAATGTCAGCTATGTTTTTCAGAACTGAAGGAGTATAAATGACTACTTGCCTCTCGTGAGTCCTTTCAATGTAGTGGCTAAAATTACCCCGCTGTGCCACTGGATATGAGCTGCACATTCCAGGCGGGACCCCTGGCATCAAATCACATGGGTCCTTCTTTTCCTTTGGGCTATTTCCTTTCTCTATGCCCTCGCTGTGCTACTGTTTCTCAGTCTATCCATTACATCTAGAGGAAGATCTATTACTACTAAATCTCAAAGGGCAGATTATTAAAAGATGATAATCCAGATTATCTGCTTTGAGATAGATTATATAAAACTACATTGCCATATAATTCAATGAAATGGGTAATTTGGATTTTATATGGCAGTGTAAATGGGGCCAATGTTGCTTTAGAATCCTTCTACATTGACCCAAAATTCCATGATGGATCACGGATTTACCTGAGGTACATCTCAGGTTAACTCGGATTTCCCAATTTACTCTGGATTAATAAAATACCTCAACAGATCCAGACCTTACTGAAAAGTCCAATCTATTGAGGTACTGGACCTGTGGGGCTTGACTCTCTGGGACTGTGTTTTGTTATCCCAGGGTTCAATCCCTATTGCCATCCCAGATCTTCCGGTTCTAAGAGCCCAAAGGAGCGGTATGGCACCCTCACTTTCCCTTCCCAGCCCCCCCCCCCCATTTCCCCCCAAATCTGTGAGGCCTGGTTGCATCCTCAGGCCCCTTGGTGAAAGCTACCAATGCATCAAAATGTAGCCACTACCCTAGTTTTGTGGCTGGTGTGTGGCCTGAATCCCAGGAGGAACTGGGATTAAATATATCAGCTCCTCCCAGGATTTGGTCCTGTCTGGAAGGGCCCTTAATAAACAACCCTGCAACAATGTATGAGTTCTTCCAGACTAAAAATGAGAGCTCTCACAAACCTTATTATTGGTTTTGATAGAGAATCTGTGCAGCAGTTGGAGATCCTGATAATGGAGCAAAGACACCAGTGGCTTGGAAGCTTGATCTGCCCTGCCCTGTATTCCAGGATCTGATCCCAGATTATCAGCTTTGAACTGGATTACATATATGAGGCTGGATCTACACCGCCCTATATCCCAGGATCTGATCCCAGTTTATCTCTTTATCTAAGGTTATCTGACAGTGCAGATGCATATAATCCAATTCAAATCTGGGATCAGATCCTGGGATATAGGGTAGTGTAGATCCAGCCCAAGACTACACTGCCAGATAATCTGGGATAAGCAGATAATCCGGGTCCGGGATCAGATCCTAGGATATAGAACAGTGTAGATCCAGCCAGAGAAAAAGATTAAAGGCTTTATTGAAGAAACAGCACTCTAAAATAAGAAGTTTACTTGAATCTAATTTCATTTTAGGGAACAGCTGATAAAGGACTCATGGGAAGTAAGGAGGTATCCATTTATATCACAAAGGGATCAGGATAGGTAGACAAGAAGGGAGGACACTTTGAGTCATTCAAACAATATAACCCAATTATTACTGCCGGCTCTGAGGCATTATTGACTTTTCATTGTTGTAATTCAGAGAGGCATCTCATCATGTTGCATAGAGATTCAAACTGCTTTCAGTTCCTCTAAAGGCTATGTAGGCATTGCTGACACCTTTAATCTCTCATGAAAATCCAGGCAACTTGGTTGATCAGCATACAAATCTTACCTGTCTTTTTACTCAGACCCCATTTTCTTATTTTAGAAAAACAGTGCTCTGAACATTTCAATAAAACATTCAGGAATAGTGGGTTGTTGTAGGTTTTTCTGGGCTATATGGCCATGTTCCGGGCCATATAGCCCGGAAAAACCTACAACAACCCAGTGATTCCAGCCATGAAAGCCTTCGACAATACATTCAGGAATAGTGTTTTCCCACCCCACATTCAGATGGTGAGAGAAAGAATGGGCAAAGAAGACAATACAGACAACTGTATAGTCCCTTAGGTGTGTTGAACATGTGGAGTAAATGCTATTGTTGACTTCTGTGTTTGTTGTTATAGCTCTCTGGGACTTTACAAAAAAAAACCCCAAAAAAACCCCAAAGCAGACAATGTTCTTACTGTTCTGAATCATTTGACTGCAATTGTCAGTACAAGCAACAAGGTTTTTTTAAAAAAAAAATCCATACTATATCACAACCAAAAAATCCAAGAAATTGTATGTTTATTTACTTGCAATAAACTTAGAACTCCAGGCTGGTTGTACAATGTACAATTAATGCAGTTTGGCACCACTTTCATTGCCATGGCTCACTACTATGTAATCCTGAGATATATAGTTTGGTAAGGCACCAGCACTCTTTGGCCTGAAGAAGACCTTGTAAAACTGCAGTTTCTATGATTCCATAATATTGAGCCATACCAATTAAAATGGTGTCAAACTGCATTACCTCTAAAGTGTAGATACACCTCAAGATCCATCCATATTTTCCTTGGCCAGCTTTGATCATGATGTTAATTTTTATCCACTGTTTGTCCATGTAATTAAGTTCTCCAGCATGTTTAGAGTTATGTAAACTTCAGCTTGTATTCCTTATCACTTTGTCCACTGAGGAAATAATAAAATAACAATGAGCATTTCCCATAGGTGTCTTGGGTCTTCCTTTCCGAAACATGCATAATCCAGGTATGCAGGTGTTTTTTTCTTTATTTTAATGTATTTTTTTTCAGATACAAAAACATGTCCTGTTCTAAATTTTTCCTCATCATCATCTAGAAAGTGATATTCTAGATCTATATTTACTTTTGGGAAACTATAATATTTCATTTGAATTGGGTAAATATAGGTTTTAAGATGAGATCTGAAAACACTCCTGTTTTGGTCTTTTTTGTGATCAGCATCACATTTTATTTCAAAAGAACACAAGGAGAACCACTGTGCTGTTGTCTTTTTCAGTGTGGGGCAGGATTTGATATTCCCAAGTCCTCTCCATGCAAAGAAATTTTTCTGGGTAGTCTTGAACTGATCGCCTTTCTTTCATCCTGACCCACTTCACAAGGATGTTGTTGTGTAGATAAAAATGGGGAAGTCCTTAGGCGATCCTTTGTTGTCCAAATATGATGACCTTCTAAGTGCAGGATCTTGGTGGTGGATACATAGGGGACTGTAGAGTCCTATTCTTGACCCACATGTTCTTCCACAGTGAGGACATCTGTTTCCAGGTTGAAGGCAGTTCCGGTCAGGTTTGGCTTGACATGCCTTCCTCTTGGCACATTTCTCCCTTTCGCACTCCATTCGTGCCTCTTCAAATGGGGAAGGGGAAAGCCATGTCCGCTACCTTAAACTCCTAGGGGAAAGATGGGATAAATTTGGAACTAGTAGACTGTGGTTGGCTGGATCTACACTGCCCTATATCCCAGGATCTGATCCCAGTTTATCTGTTTATCCAAGGTTATCTGTCAGTGCAGATGCATATAATCCAGTTCAAATCAGATAATCTGGGATCAGATCCTGGGATATAGGGTAGTGTAGATCCAGCCCAAGACTACACTGCCAGATAATCTGGGATACGCAGATAATCTGGGATCAGATCCTGGGATATAGAACAGTGTAGGTCCAGCCAGAGAAAAAGATTAAAGGCTTTATTGTAGGAACAGCATTCTAAAATAAGAAGTTTACTTGAATCTAATTTCATTTTAGGGAACAGCTGAGAAAGGACTCATGGGAAGTAAGGAGGTATCCATTTATGTCACAAAGGGATCAGGATAGACAAGAAGGGAGGACACTTTGAGTCATTCAAACAATATAACCCAATTATTACTGCCAGCTCTGAGGCATTATTGACTCTTCATTGTTGTAATTCAGACAGGCATCTCATCATGTTGCATCTAGATTCAAACTGCTTTCAGTTCCTCTAAAGCAGGGGTCCACAAACTTCTTAAGCAGAGGGCCAGGTCACAGTCCCTCAAACTGTTGGAGGGCCGGATTATAATTTGAAAAATAAAACATGAATTCCTGTGCACGTTGCACATATCTTATTTGTAGTGTAATAAACACTTAAAAACAATACAATAATTAAAATGAGGAACAATGTTAACAAATATAAACTTATTAGTATTTCAGTGGGGAATGTGGGCCTGCTTTTGGCTGATGAGATAGGATTGTTGTTGTTGTTATGTGCTTTCAAGTCGTTTCAGACTTCGGTTGACCCTGAGTGAGGGCCGGGTAAAGGACCTTGGAGGGCCGCATCCGGCCCCCGGGCCTTAGTTTGAGGACCCCTGCTCTAAAGGCTATGTAGGCATTGCTGACACCTTTAATCTCTCATGAAAATCCAGGCAACTTGATTGATCAGCATACAAATCTTACCTGTCTTTTTACTTAGACCCCATTTTCTTATTTTAGAAAAACAGTGCTCTGAACATTTCAATAAAACATTCAGGAATAGTGTTTTCCCACCCCACATTCAGGTGGGGAGAAAAAGAATGGGCAAAGAAGACAATACAAACAACTGTATAGTCCCTTAGGTGTGTTGAACATGTGGAGTAAATGCTATTGTTGACTGCTGTGTTTGTTGTTATAGCTCTCTGGGACTTTACAAAAAAAAAAAAAACCCAAAGCAGACAATGTTCTTACTGTTCTGAATCATTTGACTGCAATTGTCAGTACAAGCAGCAAGATTTTTTTTTAAAAAAATCCATACTATATCACAACCAAAAAATCCAAGAAATTGTATGTTTATTTACTTGCAATAAACTTAGAACTCCAGGCTGGTTGTACAATGTACAATTAATGCAGTTTGGCACCACTTTCATTGCCATGGCTCACTACTATGTAATCCTGAGATATATAGTTTGGTAAGGCACCAGCACTCTTTGGCCTGAAGAAGACCTTGTAAAACTGCAGTTTCTATGATTCCATAATATTGAGCCATACCAATTAAAATGGTGTCAAACTGCATTACCTCTAAAGTGTAGATACACCTCAAGATCCATCCATATTTTCCTTGGCCAGCTTTGATCATGATGTTAATTTTTATCCACTGTTTGTCCATGTAATTAAGTTCTCCAGCATGTTTAGAGTTATGTAAACTTCAGCTTGTATTCCTTATCACTTTGTCCACTGAGGAAATAATAAAATAACAATGAGCATTTCCCATAGGTGTCTTGGGTCTTCCTTTCCGAAACATGCATAATCCAGGTATGCAGGTGTTTTTTTCTTTATTTTAATGTATTTTTTTTCAGATACAAAAACATGTCCTGTTCTAAATTTTTCCTCATCATCATCTAGAAAGTGATATTCTAGATCTATATTTACTTTTGGGAAACTATAATATTTCATTTGAATTGGGTAAATATAGGTTTTAAGATGAGATCTGAAAACACTCCTGTTTTGGTCTTTTTTGTGATCAGCATCACATTTTATTTCAAAAGAACACAAGGAGAACCACTGTGCTGTTGTCTTTTTCAGTGTGGGGCAGGATTTGATATTCCCAAGTCCTCTCCATGCAAAGAAATTTTTCTGGGTAGTCTTGAACTGATCGCCTTTCTTTCATCCTGACCCACTTCACAAGGATGTTGTTGTGTAGATAAAAATGGGGAAGTCCTTAGGCGATCCTTTGTTGTCCAAATATGATGACCTTCTAAGTGCAGGATCTTGGTGGTGGATACATAGGGGACTGTAGAGTCCTATTCTTGACCCACATGTTCTTCCACAGTGAGGACATCTGTTTCCAGGTTGAAGGCAGTTCCGGTCAGGGTTGGCTTGACATGCCTTCCTCTTGGCACATTTCTCCCTTTCGCACTCCATTCATGCCTCTTCAAATGGGGAAGAGGAAAGTCATGTCCGCTACCTTAAACTCCTAGGGGAAAGATGGGATAAATTTGGAACTAGTAGAATGTGGTTGGTTAGGTCAGTCAGTTGCTGGCCCATCTTGAAACAGCCCAGAAACAAATTTTAAATGGAAGAATTGTAGATGATCCAAGAAACAATATATGGTGTGTGTATACATACACACACACAAACACACACACAGACACATACCCTCCTATATTAATTGTTTTCTCGCTCCCACCCCTTTCTTGCTGGAAATAAGAGAAAAGATTGTTGGCATGACAACATAGGGCCAAATTTCATGTCATGATGAATGAATATAGCAGGGGTCCCCAAACTAAGGCCCACGAGCCAGATGCAGCCCTCTGAGGCCATTTACTCGCCCCCAGCCTAAACTTTAGACATAGAGTCTCCCTAAGTATGAAATGACTTTAAGGCACAAAACAACAATCCTAATTACCTTGACTATCTCAACAACCAAAAGCAGGCTCACACTTTCCATTGAAATACTGGGAAGTTTATATTGGTTAAAATTGATATGTGCAGTGTGCATAGGAATTCATTCATTGTTTGTTTGTTTTTTCAAACTGTCCCAACAGTCTGAGGAACCAGGTTAAAAAGTTTGAGGACACCTGCTATAAAGTATGTCAGGAATTTAAAATATTTTGATAACAAACATAGAGTTGGCTGGCTGGCTAGGTAAACACTGCCTCAGTTAATGCTAACTACATGTAAATCTTTTTTTTTCCACCCAATACATTTTCTAATGCTGCATCTAACATCACATGGAGCTTGTCCCACAAAATCCAAGCACCCTATGCAACCATTCTTTTACAAATTTCAATTTTAGTATTATTTTCAAACTTTCTACAAACATTGCAACAATGAACTCAATATTAACACGCAGAAATTTTAAAGAATTCTCTGTAAATGTTACTTTTGCCAAATATTTCTTAGAAGTTGTTGATACTCTGGAATAAGTAAAAGGAGTCCTGGTTATATGTTTAAAAATGTCCTTCCTTTTTCTCCTAGTCTATGGTGGCACCTTGAGATTGCCTTCTATTTCAATCCATTTATCATATCCACATTTCATCTTGCAACTGCCTAGTGAAAATGATACCATTTGCTTAATTATCAACGGACAGCCAGAAATACCCATGAACTTGTTATCTGATCCTGGAAAAGGTATTTTTAATCTTTCCACTTCTTCTTTTACCGTCCTGATCCTGAATGGCCTAGAAAATATATTTTTTATTGGTGGGGTGGGGATGTCCTCCTTCATGATCAGAATTGGAAATTTCAAAGTTCTGCCTTTCTAAGGGTGCTTCCAGACAAGGGAAAAACCTACGATGAAGTAGATTTTTAAAAACCACTTCAGCATGGGTTTTTGTCCTCACACCTCCTCCCAAAATCCATCCTTTCCTGGGTGGGGGGTGCCCTCCCAGTAACCCAGACACCCAAAAAGCCCCAAAAAAGCTCTTAAAAGAAAATTTTACCTGGTAGCCGTTAAGGTACTTCTGGGCGAGTCCAGCGACTGAGCCTTGAAGTCCTGGCTCCCTCCTGACTCCTGCAGCCTTGTCCAAATGTGCTGCATTTGGACAAGGCCTGGATCTGTTTGGATGCCTCTGGTAAAAGCTCGACGGGCCCACATTTTGGGGCTTGTCTGGAAGGGCCCTGAGGCTGCATCTATACTATAGAATTAATGCATTTGACCCCACTTTGATCACTGTAGTTCAGTTTTATTGAATCCTGAGATTTACAGTTTAGTAAAGCACCAGAATTATTTGGCAGGGAAGGTTAAAGACTTTGTAAAATTACAGTTCCCAGGATTCTATTACATTGAGCCATGGTCGTTCAAGTGAAGTGAAACTGAATTAATTCTATAGTGTAGATGCGCCCTCTGTCATTTTTCCACTTTGAATTCATGTTAGTTTGTATGATTTCTTCAAATGCAAATCTTCCCAATACATTTAGTTTGAATACTTGAATATGAATGCTGTTTTTGTCCTTCTAGCCACAGCATGGTTTTTATATATATATATTTAAAAAATAAACACTAGCAAGAAAATTATAGCGATCCTTATTCGATTCCGTTGTGACTTTGTTTCTGGGATTTCAGGAATCCAGGTGACTGGCAAACTTGGAAAAGGAGGACAATTTGAGCAGTTTGAAATAGTCTATCTAAAGCCTGAAATGCGAATCAGCATCTCAAAAGATGAAATTGTCACGAATGTAAAATGGAATGCAACTATGCTTCCATTGACAACTACACTTCAATGGACATTCAACACATCTTACATGCCGATCCAGGGGTAAAAAAAAATACTCTATTGCACATTTTCTCTTGATTTATTTTTCTTATTATAATGCTATAATCATATTAAAATATAGGTATAACCTCTATCTAGATTATATTATATTATTATTATATTATATTATATTATATTATATTATATTATAGATTACATAAAGAATCTATAGGGCTGGCATGGTATAGTGATTTGAACATTGGACGCTGACCCTGGCGACCAGGGTTTAAATCCCTGCTAAGTGATTATCATCAAAGGAGTTGCTTTAGGCAAGTCACACTCTCTCAGCCTCAGAGGAAGGCAAATGCAACCCTGCTCTGAACAAATCTTCCCAAGAAAACATGTGATAGGGTTGCCATAAATTGGAAATGACCCTTCCACACTGCTCCCCTATTTATTTTAATTATCTATTTACAGTATTTATATTCTTCCCTTATCACTCTGAAGGGAACTCTGGGCAGATCACAGAACATACATATGTGGCAAACATTCAGTGCTGTTTTATACACAACTAGACAGACAATTATACATAGATAGGAGGTATATGTCACCTTTCCCTCATCTTTCTGGCATCTTGGAAGGTGTTGTGCTCGATTCCAACCACAGGAGGTGATGTTGCTCCACCTTCCTGCTGAATATGTAGTTTGTAACTTTCTCCTTTGGACTGCTGGAATTTCTTCTGGGTGCCTTAGAATACCTCCCCTGTTTTTTAATGAGTAGTACCTATTTACCTAATCACATTTTTGCTTTTGAACTGCTAGGTGGGCAGGAGCTGATCTAAGGCCAGGAGCTCACCTTGCTCTGGGTTTGAACTGGCAGCCTTTTTGACTGACAAGATTGACTACAGTTGGTGTTTAACTTGCTGTGCTAAAGCCAGCGCCTCTATCCCAGGATCTTATCCCAGATTATCTGGCAGTGGAGACTCAGGGTGCTTCCAGACAGCATGAAAACACGGGTTTAAGAGGGAGGAGAGAAAAAAACAGGACCCGAGAGCAGACCTGTGGGTCCCGGGATTTCTTTACCCGCCATTCTCATAGGTCTCCTCTGTCTCAGAACAAGATTTAGGGTGGACAGGGGACATTCAGCAGAAATTTTGTTTTTTAAAATAGCACACCTTGTTGTGCGCTGAACCGTATATTGTGCACATGTGAATATCTTAATATAAATATAAGCAGATTCACATGTGCACATACGAAGTGTACTTAATATAGTGTACTTCCATTGGATTATGAATTACACATAATATAGTGTACTTCCATTGGATTTCTCCCTTCCCCTAATTGTTTATTCAAGCTCTGTTTAATATTATACCATTTAAAAGAAAGAGTTTCAGAGAGTTCTGATTGCTCTCAGTTTGTGCTTCCTTCAAATTAGCTGTGTGTCTGTTTGATAGCCCAATCAGCTGTTTTGGGCTTTTTAAAGGTGGACATGTCCTGGAGCAGTCTTCACGGGGGGGGGGGGGGGGGGAATCATACACATTTTTGGTCAGAATCAGGATTAAAAGGGAACTTTTTATCCCGTGTTTTTCAGTCATTGCAGAGCATCAGCTCACATTTAGCCTTAACGCCGTGTAGCCACCCCCCTTTTAACACGGGAAATCCTATGCTTTAGGTACTGTGTAGATGGACCCCCATATAATTCAGTTGAAATCAGATAATCTGGGATCAGATCCGGGGATATAGGGCAGTGTAGAGGGGGCACAAAGGCAAACAACAACAATATAACTATATCTTTTATATATATTCATTCCTGGTCATTTGCAGTCACATGTTTTCTCAAGGGACAATATTTTATTTTACCAAATATGTGAAACTTTGTACATCTACTGTAAAATTACATATTGAGCTTGGAGAGGACACTTGTGACTCAAGAATGTATGGTATAATCACATAACCTATTGAGTTTATATGTTATGTTCCCCATTTTGTAGCAATCTAAATTTGGAGGAACACAGAAACAGATTATGATCTATATCCATCCATGAACATTTGCTTAAATAATAGCAAAATCTGACATAAAAGGAAGCAGTCTCCCTTTTGCTGCTACGTTCCTTTGAATAGCCCAGAAAAAAGCTGCTCCTGGTAAAGGGTTAAAAGGAACCCAGAGCAGTTTTTCAATCCAAATGCTGCAAGAGGAGAGCTCAAATATCCCACAAGCATTGCCTTGTGAATAATAATAATAATAATTAATAATAATAATAATAATAATTTTTTTTGCCTACCTCTTTTCATGGCTCAAGGCGGGTTAGTAAAAGGTAAAGGTTTCCCCTGACATTAAGTCTAGTTGTGTCTGACTCTGGGGGGTGGTGCTCATCTCCATTTCTAAGCCGGAGAGCTGGCATTGTCCGTAGACACCTCCAAGGTCATCTGTTTGTCGTGACTACACAGAACACTGTTACCTTCCCACCGAAGCGGTACCTATTGATCTACTCACATTTGCATGACTAGACTTAATGCCTTTACCTTTACTTTAAGGACCTCATCAGAAAGGCCAATGGATTCGCCCCACATTGTGGAAAATCCATGGGTTCCTAGTGGGGGTGTGGTACCTTGACCCCCATCCCATGGGGGAAAGCATCTCCACCCGGCTTCCCGCATTGTTCCTAAGGCAACACAGGAAGCCTCCCATGTTGTCACGGTGGCGGTGTAGGCTGCTTGTTCTCCACTTTCAGTGCTGAGCCTGGCCAGAAGTCACTGTGTGTAGTATAATGGGCTCCATATCAAAAGTGGAGAGCAAGCGGCATATGACAGGCAAATCAGCCCAACTGATGAAGTAGGAAAATATGTTATGTGGACCATTTAAAAAGAATCCCTTCTTTTCTTTCCAGAAATATTGTTTTTTTTATGCACAGGGTGAATCCTTAAATTCATTCGTTTATCAACTAAAATTCATAATAATGTGATTAAAATAACTAAACATGAGTTGCAGACCTGCTTTTTAGACTGTGTGCATGAGGACAATGTCAGTTGCATAGTTTTGTAGGGAATCTAGGAATTTTAGGTACCTTATATAATTTTCTGATCTTTATTTTTCAAGGGTGAAAATTAGAATTGACAAAGAAAAGAGTCTTTTGATATCGGGAATGGGAATCACAATAAAAATATCCTTTGTGAAGCTTTCTGAACGTTTTCTTGGACTATACATCACTGATGGTCATTTCTCTGAACAAGTCACTGGAGTTCTTGGTATGTCATAGTTTAGAAAAGTGATTTCTGTGTAGCATTTATGTGCTGTCTGAAAACCATTTTTTCAGGGAAGATTACAACAAGGAAAGCAATTCAAAATACACAACTGGTCAACTCTAATCATATTACAATAAACACTAAAAGTGTCCAAGATAAAGAGATTTGAGATGGAGCTCACTTAATGGAAAAATAAAGGGGTTAAGGTTTGGTGCTTGGAAATATTGGTTGTAGATGAGCTATATTTAAGAAAGAATATCATTATTACGATGAGATGCAATTCTTGAAAATGTCCTTTCCTTCTCCACACTGCCTGCCCAAGCTCATTCAAGGATAGGACCCAAAAGGGAACTTCAGAAGTGGTCTGGGTCCATATATGTGAAGATAGCTGATGCTTTGAGTATTGTCCCAAGCCATGAAGGCTCACCATGATAAAAATCAGCATTAGGACCAAACTGTCAAGAGGTTCCCAGGTCATGGATGACTGAAGTCAGTGGATGTTTGTGTAGGTAGAGTTTTAACTGGTGCATCAGCCTCAGTTGATAAAAGGTGCAGTTGATAAAAGGTGAGAGTCCGGTTGGAGCATGCCTACCCACGCTACAAGGGCGCCGAGCCAATTTGGGCTCGCCCAAGGAGACTTATGGAACCCAGTAGGTTCCGGAATGCTCTGAGGGATCTGGAGCCTGCCAGCGACTCGATCGATGTGCAGGTGGACACATGGAACATCAGGCTATCCAATGCACTCGACGAGATCGCCCCTAGACGCCCTCTCAGACCCCGCCGAAATCGGTCTCCTTGGTTCACCGAGGAACTTCAACTGATGAAGCGGGAAAAGAGACAGCTGGAGGGCGTGTGGCGAGAACTCCGTGACAGAGCATCGAGATCAGCTTATGAGGCATTCAGGGAATCCTATGAGCATGCTATCACTGAGGCAAAGCGAGTATATTATGCTTCTTTGATAGCGTCTGCTAGCTCACGCCCGGCAAAATTGTTCAAAATAATTCGATCTCTAACGACGGTTCCTACCGTCCCAAAAAGTGGTGATCAGGCCCCTCCAGCCGAGGTTTTTCAGAGCTATTTTGCAGACAAGATCTCGCTACTTCGCCGGGACCTCCCCGCCACAATTGATACAGTGAGAGAACTTGAGACCCCGTGGCCACTTGCTGGGCCCATCCTCGACCGGTTCATCCCGCTGGATGCAGGGGCTGTCGATAGGCTCATAGCTGCAGCTAGACCGACCACTTGCTCCCTCGATCCGTGTCCCTCTTGGTTGGTGAAATCCTGCTTGGAGGGATTACGTGACCCTCTGTTGAAGATCATAAACAGCTCCCTTGAGCAAGGAGTCTTTCCAGAGGGTTTAAAAGAGGCGGTGGTCTCTCCTTTGCTGAAGAAACCAGATTTAGATCCCTCGGTTCCCTCCAGTTACCGCCCAGTTTCAAATCTCTCGTTCCTGGGCAAGGTGATTGAGAGGGCAGCAGCGGAGCAGTTGCAGCAATTCCTAGACGACACAGCCGGACTAGATCCCTTCCAATCCGGCTTCCGTGCGGGGCACGGGACAGAGACTGTGCTGGTCTCCATCACGGATCACCTTCGATGCCAGCTTGACCAGGGCGGGTCAGCGCTGCTTGTGCTATTGGATCTCACAGCAGCATTTGACACAGTCGACCACAATCTCTTGACCCACCGCCTTGCTGTTGCTGGAATCAGGGGGACAGCTTTAAACTGGCTGTCCTCCTTTCTTCACAACCGTGGACAGCGAGTGGAGAGGGGAGGCCTGGTCTCTGAGAGGTCCCCTCTATCTTGTGGGGTTCCTCAGGGGGCCATTCTCTCCCCTCTGTTGTTTAACATCTATATGCGACCACTTGCTCAGCTGGTTCGAGGTTTTGGGCTTGAGTGTTATCAGTATGCCGATGACACTCAGCTGGTGCTGAAAGATGGAAGGCCGACCGGACTCTGTACCCGATTGTTTCCATCAGTGCCTCGAGGCCGTTACTGGATGGCTGCGTGCCAGCAGGTTGAGGGTGAATCCAGCAAAGACGGAGATCCTATGGCTGGGTGGACCGGGCAGTGGGGACATCCATCTGCCCACCCTGGATGGCGAGGCGTTATGCCCGTCATCATTGGTAAAGAGTCTGGGAGTCCTTTTGGACCCTCTGCTGACAATGGAGGCCCAGGCCTCCGCCGTGAGCAGAACCGCCTTCTTTCACCTGCGGCAGGCTAGACGGCTGGCCCCCTACCTGTCCAGGGACGACCTAGCTACGGTGATCCAGGCCACGGTCATCTCAAGACTGGACTACTGTAACGCCCTCTACATTGGCCTCCCTCTGTCGGTGATTCGGAAGCTCAAGTTGGTACAAAACGCAGCTGCTCGGCTTCTTGCGGGAATTCCGATGAGATGCCACATAACACCAATCTTACTACAGCTGCATTGGTTACCAATTGAGCACCGGATCACTTTCAAAGTGATGGTACTCACCTTTAAGGCCTTGCATGATCTGGGGCCAATGTATCTGAGGGATCGTCTCACCCCCTACCAACCCCAGAGATCCCTCCGTTCTGAGGACCAAGATCTATTGGAAGTCCCCAGTGTCAAGACCTTGCGTCTAACGGCAACCAGACGCAGAGCCTTCACAGCAGTGGCGCCATCAGTCTGGAATGCTCTGCCATCCGAAGTTCGTGCCCTGCGGGACTTACCAGCTTTCCACAGGGCATGTAAGACATACCTGTTTCAACAGGCTTTTAACGTTTGATACTGTTGTGTTAGATTTTAGCTATTCTTGTAAGCCGCTCCGAGCCCCAGGGGAGTGGCGGCATATAAGTTTAAATAATAAATAAATAAATAAATAAATATAATAGGCTCACTTAGTGCACTAGCTCATTGAACATGGATTTAGATATATGTAAACATGGATCAGCTGTCAGAATTTAAGATAAAAGTGAAGACCTATCTCTTCTTGCAGGTCTACCTAGACAGTTTAATGGTGAATTTTAAATTCCATTATATGCCTGGTTTTTGTTTTCTGTATTTTGATACGTATTTTATGGAGATGTGTTTTAATATGTGTATTTTACGGAGTATTTTAAAATGGTGATTGTGTGTTCATTTATGTTTCATTAATACTGTAACCCACCTTGAGCCATGAGGAGAGGTGGGAAAGAAATAATAATAATAATAATAATAATAATAATAATAGTAATAATATCTTTCAATAGCACAGTGCAATGCAGAAGGACCCAGCGATGCCTAGAGAAGTGTCCTGTCTAGTAGACTTGAGCTCAAATCAGTTTGAATGAAAAAGATTTGTAGTATTCGGTGGGCCATTTTATATAATCTCCAAAAACAGACCAAGGAGGAGGGAGCTGAAAAGCCCGGCAAAATGAATTAAGAGAGCAGGATTTTATCCAGTTCCTGCATAGGAAGGGGTTAAATCTGCAATATACCTGAGGCAGGGATCTGTTATGTCCCTCGAAAGCACCAGTATGCCTCCATTATTATTATTTTTTGAAAACTTTCCTAGGCTCCTCCTGCAGAGAGGGCCCTACTGGAAATCAATTTTCCCAGCAGAACTTGCATAGGACAGGCATTGAGAAGTTTCTCTTGGATAATGATGGGAGTTGAAGTTTCTCTCTCTCTCTCTCTCTCTCTCTCTCTCTCTCTCTGTTTCTCAGCCAATAAAAATCCTGGTTGTGTCCATGCTCTGACTAGTTGAGAATGAACACAACCGTCACCTACAATTCCCAGAACCCTCTCTTATAATTTGTCTTATTTTTTAAAATGTTATGGTTAAAACTTAAAATAATTCTTTAAAAATGAGTAGATTGGTGAATTGTTTTGAAACTTGGCAGGCCTGCAGTTGTAAATGGGGTCTAAAACTGAGGTGGGCTTTGTGCAGATAGGCCTTAAAATGATTGATGATATATCCTTTTAAGTTTCCCACTGTAGCCAATGAGCAGAAACTTTGCTGAATAAAATTGGAAACATGCCTCTCCTTTCAAGCAAATTCCCAGAGGGGCCAGCTAGCAATGGAACCAAAATGGGATGCCTTTTGGCCAAATTGCACAAGCCTCCTGTCTCCTTCAATGTGACCTTCTGTGGCTTATCAATGCAAATTTGCTCCTGTCGACAGTGGCTTGATAGATTATGACATGTCAATGGAATTACACTCCCACATCTTTTCCTGCCAAAGCAAGGAAAGAGTGTCCATAATTTACTTTTCTCCATTTATACATGTGTGTGTGTGTGCATAAAATAATATGTCCAGTCAATCACTTAACTTCAAAATAACCCTTTGAAGTATTAAGACAAAGCAACTTCGGATACTGTATACTTTTAATATCCTTGAATATATGCTTACCACATACAGCCTTGGTATAATTCATATTGTGACTTAGTAGCTTTAACTGGTAGAGCCATTCTGAGCATGAAAATATTTGTAATATGAATGACAGTCCAAAATAGAAGTACCTCTTATATAAATATAGGTTTACTAGGGTCAGAAGCAAAAAATCCCCATGGAAGTCAAAACCACACATTCTAAAAATGTGATTAAAATGAGAGAAGATCAGTCTAGGATTATTGGGGCCTTCCAGCTTTACCCTATGTTCAACCTTTGGATGAAGTTGACCATAGAATCACATTGGAAGATGTAACATTCCTAGAGATAACATTTTAATTAAATCCACTGTTCGAAAATGAAAATGTGAAGGGCTGACTACATTGTCAGCCCATCACATTGTGTTGCACCAGCAACCCATATAGCATTTAGGTGGTCCCACAAGAGTCCAGGGAGCTCTTGGGAAATGAAAGGGGTGAGTGCTACCGCTTTCTCTATTTGACATGTTAATGTGAGAGAAATAAAAGAGCCCTTTGCCCAGCAAGATAAAGAAAGGGAGCACAGCAGAGAACAAGAAAAGCATAAGGAAAAAGGAGGTGGGGAACACTGAGAAGGGGATGGTGGCAAAAGAAAGCGGGTAAAGAGGGAGTGTGGCAGCAAATGGGGAGGAAAAAGAGAAATGGGGAAATTGAGAGCCAGAGTATTCAGGGATTTGTTTCGCCCCAGAAGATACATTGACTGAACTCCTGAATCCCTTGTGTAAGAGCCACATACAGCAATTTAAAAACCAGATATTCTTATAAAATGCAGATAACCAATAAACTGCAGCCTGGATAAGGTACGTTTAGCCGTTTTTCTAGCAGAATGTCAAGTCAAGTAATTTCCTCTCTCTTTGTTTTTGCACTGCAGGTCAGTTTTATTTTAATACATATTTCGTAAAAGTATCAAATTCCAGACTGAGGAAATCAATAATGGTACAAGGACAAAGATACGAAGCCTTCAGGTAAAACTTTTTTGGATGATTTCACTTTGGGTCTTGCAGTAATGTTATATGTAAATGCAATAATTCCAATATCTTTTTAAGCTGCCTTGTACCATGTGCTCTAACGTCTTCAGATAATAGGGGTTTATTCACTTCATACATGGTTACATGGTCAAGCAAGCTGTCTCTTCTCAGGTGCCTTCCTTAGCCATAGGGTTTAATGGGCTGTCTTCTTTTATTGTCCCCCTCCCCTGCTTTTATGAATTCAAATTTGAGATTTCATGGTTCCTAATATTTTAATGTATCTCAAAAATTGCCATTGTCATTTATTGTTTTCAAATTATTTGTTTGCGTTTTGATGTATTTCTGGGGAGTGGTATACCGTATATACTTGAGTATAAGCCAACTCAAATATAAGCTGAGGCATCTAATTTTACCACAAAAAAACTGAGAAAGCTTATTGACTCAAGTATAAGACGAGGGTAGGAAATGCAGCATCTACTGGTAAATTTCAAAATAAAAATGGATACCAATAAAATTTATATTTACATAAAATTGTAATTTAAGGTAAGAATCTGCCAACCCTGATTACCTATATACTCAAGTATATGCCAACCCAAATATAAGCTAGCCAGGACCTTCACTTGAGTATAAGCCAAGGGAGGCTTTTTCAATCCTAAAAAAGGGCTGAAAAACTTGACTTATACTTGAGTATATATGGTACATATATATTTTGGAGTACATGAATGTTTTGAGATGCACTATACTGAGACAGTCCTAACATAGCAGCTATTCATGTTCATCACAGGTGCAAAATGAACTTTAGGGAAAGACTCATTCCACCCTATCCATTTTGCATAAGCTATAACCATGTGTTGGAATATTTTTCATGGATATTCCATTAATAAACAGAGTAAATAATCTTTCTTAAACATTACACAAACAGCCTTACTTCACAAGAATATTTATGTTGTTATCTTGTTTTTGTTTATTTTTCAGACAAAATAAGAAAGACTACAGGACAGAGTCGTCTGCTGCTGTTGTTTCCTGTTGGACCTTAGATCTCAATCCTTGAGTGTTTTCCCAGCAGCAAAAATCATGGAATTTAAAATACCACTTTATGTATTATTGTGCTGATAGTTTAATTTTCTTCAACTTTATTTTTCATGTTTAAATATTTTTAGAAATGTCCCATGAGAACCAGAATAATGAATTCCATAAGACTAAGGAACAAAAACGCCTACACAGAATCCCAGCATGTGGTGCGGTTAATAAAATGATTTCTCAAATCTATCACCCTTGTTTTTGCTCATTTCACCCAAAGCTAAAGTCTTTAATTGCTCTGAAGCCCAAAACCCAATTAACAGTGTGATGGGTAATTTCAAAAAAGGAAGAAACAATAAAAAATGTAAATCAGCAACCATAGCAGCAGCAGCAGCAGTTGAGCAGATCAGAAGCTTCTTGAGTTAGCAATAGAGCAAATGAGCTTCAGCAGTACAGGAGCAGAATCAAGCTTTGAAAACACAGCATGCAATTAAAATTAGGCATTTACAAGGGAAATCCTGTGCATGTCTACTCTGGAATAAATACAGTGATGTTCAATTAGTTTTGCATTTAGGTAAGTATATATTGAAGAGGAGGGAAATCTCTAACCCATGTGGCTAATTCGGGCAACAAAGGCTGCAGATTTGGGGCATTCATATAATCTGGACCCAGCCAACAAGGGTCAGGTTCTTCTTCCTCCCTAAAACTTTGCTCCATTCTCCAGTTCAATGCCAGCAGCATCTCAGCTTCCATTCTTTTCCTGGTGGTCACTCCTACTCCCAATGGCGAATACAAGTGGATGGAGAGAAATCCCATTGATGTTTCTGATATCAAATTGGTAATTGCAGCAGGATTTCCTCCCACCCACTCCTTGTACACCTTGTCTGCTGGGGATGTAAGCAGCGTGGAGGAGGATAGATTCCTCTGTTATCTCTGGTCTTACACGTCTGAGAGAGAGGAGGGGAGCCAATATAAATGACTAGAGTTCATTGCTCTGGAAGAGGGTTGGATCCCAACTGACTAAGCTGCTTATGGTTTTATTTTATTTTTTGATTTCTTGTGGTATCATCATTTGTCTATTATTTATGACATCCCTTTTAAAATTGACAATTTTTTCATGACTGGGCATGGACCAATAAGCAACACAGTAAAAATCACCTGCATGCCTGCAGTGGTAGAAAAACTGTCCCTTTAATGTTTTGATTGTTTGTCTTGGAGAAGGTGTGGAGACTTTAACCCACACCCAACCAGGTTTCTTTAAACTTGATTGGGTGCAGGTTAAAGGCCTGTGTGGAAGCAGCCTCATATAATCCGGTTTATAGCAGAAAACCTGGAATCAGATCCTGGGATATAGGGCCTGTCTGGAAGGACCCACTGAGGAGGGGAAAGCTTATTTTCTGCTGCTCTGGAGACCAGGACATGGAGCAATAGATGGAAATGGCATGAAAAGAGATTCCACTAAAACATTAAGAAGGACTTTTTGATAGAAAGAGCTGATTGGCAATGGAGATTTTTAAACAGGGTCTGGAAAGCCATTTATTGGGGATGCTTTGATTGTGCATTCCTGCATGGTAAAATAGGATTGGACTGGATGGTGGTCTCTTCCAGCTCTTATGATTCTATGATTTTGTATTATTTTCCATACTGTCCTGTGAACCAGTTTCAGTCTGTGATGGATTTCTAAAATATTATTCAAATATGGTAATAATACATCACAAATATGACACCAATCAGTGACATATTGGAGGAAAATATTGGATTATGAGATTTGAATCATTGTAATGTTGAAATGTTTTTAGCTGATGTTTTAATGTATATGTTTTATTTGCTGGGTATGTGTTGTATGGCATTGAATTGTGCCTTTATGTGTGTCACTCTGAGTCTCCTTCAGGGTGTGAAGAGTAGGATATAAATATGGCAAAAAAATATAATAAAATTATGGCCTGCTCTAAGAGATAATTTTTTAAAAGTTGCAAGCCACTTTGTTGTAGTACATCATGATAGTAACGATCCTACTACCGGTAGAAGGGAGAAGAGGGCTGCGCAGGTGTTGGAGGAGGAGGAGCACCGAAAGCGGATTAGAGACATATTCATGGCTCCAACTGACTCTGAATCCTTCGAGGGTTTCTCTGATTGTGAAATGGGGGAAGGAGAGGAAAGCAGGTGAGTTAAGTGGGCTATTCATGAACAAGAATCTGATGAAGAGCTTCAAAGGAAGCGTATCCGTGATATACTTAGCGCTCCAACAGAAGATGAAGATATTATAGGTTCTGAAGGGAGTGATGGGACTGGGAGTGACATTGAGGAGGAAGGTGATTTGGACTGGACCCGTGTTCAGGAAATAAGGGATATCTGTACTCAGCCTACCTCCAGTGATGACCTTGAGGGGTTTGCAGAAGAGTGGCAATCGGGGAACACTTGGGAGGACCTAAGTCTTGACAGACGCTGGCAAAGGTGGAGAGATGGGAGGCAGTGCTCAGCTGCAGGGAATGGGGCAGCTGAAAGTGATGATGAAAGGGTGGGGAGCAGTTCATCCTCTGATGAGGAGCTTTAGGATATAAGTTGGTTTGGTTTCAATGGGTTTTTGCAGAAGGCAAAGTGTTTTTTCGGGTGTGTATCTTACTTCTTGGGAGGAGAGGAATGTCCAATCTCGATAAAATAGTAAAGAGTAGAGACATCACACTGACAACAAAGATCCGCATAGTCAAAGCCATGGTATTCCCTGTAGTAACCTATGGATGTGAGAGCTGGACCTTAGGGAAGGCTGAGTGAAGGAAGATAGATGCTTTTGAGCTGTGGTGTTGGAGGAAGGTTCTGAGAGTGCCTTGGACTGCAAGAAGATCCAACCAGTCCATCCTCCAGGAAATAAAGCCCGACTGCTCATTGGAGGGAAGGATACTAGAGACAAAGTTGAAGTACTTTGGCCACATCATGAGGAGACAGCAAAGCCTAGAGAAGACAATTATGCTGGGGAAAGTGGAAGGTAAAAGAAAGAGGGGCCGACCAAGGGCAAGATGGATAGATGGCATCCTTGAAGTGACTGGACTGACCTTGAAGGAGCTGGGGGTGGTGACGGCCAACAGGGAGCTCTGTCGTGGGCTGGTCCATGAGGTCACGAAGAGTCAGAGATGACTGAACGAATGAACAACAACAATCTTTGTCCCTGCCTTTACTCTCGAGCTTGGGTCCTTGGACTACAGATCTTTGTGTTTCCGTGACTTCTGGCTGATACATCGTAAGTGCTGACTCTGTTTGACTCTCTCTGTTTGACTTCGGACCATGTTTTGACAACGACTACGCTTTTTGGACTGCTTTCTCTAACTTTGAACGTGCCTGGACTACGGACTGACTTTGGACTCTGATTTTGCTTGCTCCTACATTGTTTTTTGGTGCCTTTTGGACATTCTGAATTACAAGCAGTTTACTGTATATTTTTGATATCCCAGATTATACTCCGGGATAATCCAGATTATATTTCAGTTGAGTTTTTTATGCAGCGGTTGCTATAGACTTTTAGTTTGTGCTAGAGACACTGAAGCAAGTGTCTCTATAGCCTTTTTGTGTTTAATAAACCTGTGTTTGGACCTTTTATATTGTGTTTGGCGTTCTTGAGGCTTCTGGGTCTTGACACACTTTTTTCTATTACGAAGAGCCACTTCATCTCCACTTCAAGGCCAAAGAGGCACAGAACCCGTCACATAAAGCTCTCATGATTCCATAGTTTCATAGCATTGATCCATGGTAGTAAAAGTAATAGCAAACTGCATTAATTTTTACCAGGGTTAATCAGAAGGATCTTGTGGAAAGGATCGCAAGCTAACCCTCTCTCCTCCCATTTCCTGAAAACTGTTGGCTGGCCTGCTGGCAGCTCAGAAATTTGGGGAACTCCTCCTCCTCCACTTCCTCACAGCATAAAGATGTCAGTGTCACTAGATTCCACGCCTCCTTCTAATGACAGAACACTATGTAAACAGCCACAATTATTGGCTAGGTTTGTGCATATTTGGTAGTTTTTCTAGATACTTATTAACATTCTGCAAAATGTGTTCTAAGAGTGAGCCTCACTAACTGTTTTCTTACTTTTTCTTGGACCATGGGGAACCAATTTCTGTTTTTTGCTCTCTTGGTGCTAATACCAGCCCTCGGATCATCTGATTTTTTAATAAATAATATCAGGAACATCAAGGTAAGTGTGCAAAAAAGTTATACCAAATGTATGTTTTATAGCTATAATATCACAAAGGTACCTAATGTCAATGCACCTCCAATGCAGCATTTTCAGTTTTAGAGTGCTCAAAATTTTAAAATATTTATGAAAGATTTATGGAAAATAAAGATTATTCTTAATCATATGGAAAGAGTTTGCTTTTTTCCCGTGGCTTACAAAGATTTCTCTGTGTTGAAAAGGTCCTTTGAAACTATAGGCATTCAGATGACATTTGTCACAACTCCCAGTTGCCCACAATATCGAGGCATGCTTCTTAAGTCCCACTAATGTCCACTTCTTTTCTGGACTTTGATTTCTGATTTCTCTATTGTTCTTTCAGAATGCATTGTGATATTCCAATTTTTTGTTTCCTAATCCCAAATAGTATACTGTACTAAGTGAGGTACATCTCCAATTTGCTGCAGGTTTCCATGTAGCTACAATGTACTTGCTGATGAAAAATAAACAAACAAACAAGTTGAACCCTGTGCAATGTAGTTTTGTAGTTTTGCCTGCAGATTTACTGTGTGCACTGTTAGCAAAATATTACACCAAACAAATCTTGAATCACTACAATACATATGTATTGTAGGCCCGTGACACTGCATTACCAACATGCATGTCCCTGAATGTATTTATTGCATACATGTGGGTGATAGAAGGGCTGTAAATATACTAAAGGAAACAAAAATGTTGGTAAACTGTGCCTACCCCAGTTAAAGAGTTCATGATGACGTGGAAGTAGAGAACACATCATTAAAACAACTTAATGGAAATATGTAGCTCTGCATTCTGTAGACTGGTGTACAGCAGAATGGCAGACATGTCCTTGAGCATCCAGGCAAGCCCCTGGTTCACTAGGGAAGCTGGCAGTGATGAAATGAGTGGGATGGAGACTGGAGCAAAAATGCTGGAAGACTTGGAGCAAAATTGACCAAACATAGGCTAAAACTTCTTTGAAAACATATACTATGGTGATGGTTGCAGCAAAGAAGTTATATTTCTGTGCTGTCATTGAATCTGCAAACTGTCACCCAGCACAGCTGCCTCAAGTGGTCAGAGGCCTTTTAAACTCTACTGCTTTTCATGAATTTGCACGACACTTCACAGATCAAATTGGTCAAATTCACTCTGACATGTATGCTGTAAGAGACTTAGGTACAGTGGATGCAATCTTGGCACCTGTTTATCCTATATGATTGGATACATTTCAATGTGTGCAGCCTAAGGATGTGGACACGATCCTGGGAGAGGTGAAGGCCACCTCATTCATACTCGATTCTTACCCTTACTGACTCCTGAAAGCTGATGGAGGAGGGTTGGCCAAATGGGTAATGTCTCACTTTAATAAAGGAAGTTTCCATCTTGTCTAAAATAATCTGTGTTGAGACCATAAAAACTTTTCTGGATCCCATCATTCTGAATAATTGTTTCCCAGTCTATAACATTCAATTTTGAGGCAAAGCTCTGGAGTTCCAGACGTTTCTGGAAGAAATGGATTAGCTCCATTGTGCAAGCTTGTCACATGGCTGCCAAGAACATATTGCATTGTCGGGGGGCATGGGCAACCCGGCGACCCACATCCCCACATTGCCCAGCTCCAGCTGATGGCAATCATATGGGGAGAAGCATGGAGCATCCATGGATTTCAGTGGCAACACAAGAAGCCTCCTGTGTTGCTGTGGTGACGGCATGCACTGGCTCTGCCCTCCTTCATCCATGGAGTTGTGCCAGCATTGTATGATGGAAGCCAGCAATGTCCATGGGTGACCTGGACTAAACAGGGGCATGCCGCCAGTTTAGCCCCATGTGAAGAGGCCATTAATCTGGCTTCAGGTCTGGATATGAGGTGGAGACAGGTTCGGTTGCCTTGGTAGATAATCTGCACAGGGAACTACAAGGGATTCTGTCTGTTGTTTCTGCTGGACCTCTCAGCAACTTTCAATACCATTGACTATGTTAGTTTTCTGGATCACCTCCTCTGAAATGGGATGTGGGGCTAAATTATGCAGTGTATCCAGTCTTTCTTGGAGGGGTGAACTCAGAAGAGACTGCTATTCAGGTGGGTTCTGCTTTATCCCCTATTTCAAATATAACTCACATTTCTGTTGAATTTTGTGAAGACATTTGCAAGTTGGAAAGTTCTTGTGAAAAACAATCTAATTTCACTCAGCTTGTATTGTGTGATGCTGTAAATCTCTCCAAATTCTTCCAAAAATAATTACAATGTAATGACGTCTCTTTTCTTCTTTCCTTTACAGAAGAGAAATGCTGCTGATACTGTGAGTACCATTCTAATTATCACCCCTTAATACATGATGTCCTCTTAACACATGAATGCCATCGATCTTTCAAGGCGAAGTAATTTTAGTACATGGCCTCCACCATGTGCTAGAATTTCCTCAAGTGCACTTATCATTCCACGGAGTACTACAGAACCCAGTACAGGGAATTGCAAAGACTTCACTGCTTCTTGCAAAGTTTGGGTTCACACACACCTCGCTGTCCTTGTAAGCAGTGTGTGCACGTGCACCAATTGTCCTGGGTAAACATCTGTAGGCAAGAACTGACCAAAGAGAAATCCCTTCACTGAATTATTAATGGAACTCATTTGTAATTTGCAAGAGTCACAAGTTGTCAGAAAGTAATATGTCAAAAGGTGTCAGAAGCCTGTACTAATTTTATATACAAAATGTAATTCCCATATAACTATTACATAGTATAGTGTATGAATTGTGTATTTCATGCTGTCTTTGAAAATAGGACAAGGCTATGTCTGCACTCAGTGGAAGGAAATAGTTGCTTTTTCCCCTGAATAGAAGTCATATTTTTAGGTGCTCAGGATGTAATTGTTGAACCATTGTAAATAGGCAGGAAGTTAAACGTAGTTTTTCCCTCCATTGCAAATGAATATTGAGAAACCAAATGTTGCACAAAACAGTTGTGTTAGCTTCTGGTAAACTAAGATCCAGAGCAAAGATAAACACAAAATAGGGCAAAAGGTATATAGAAATAAGCCGTGGAACCAAAAGTACTAATAAAAAACCAAGCATCAGGGAATAAACTTTTCAGCTGTTGCTGACAATTCAGAAAATTTACTTATGGTATTCCAGCTCCCAGAATCCCCTATGCCAGTGGTTCTCAACCTGTGGGTCCCCAGGTGTTTTGGTCTACAACTCTTAGAAATCCCAGCCAGTTTACCAGCTCTTAGGATTTTTGGGAGTTGAAGGCCAAAACATCTGGGGACCCACAGGTTGAGAACCACTGCCCTATGTGGTCTGGAAAGTCTTTGAGTAGTAGAAGCTTGGTAGCAACTACATTTAGAGTTTTGGGGAATGCTGTGATTTAAACACAGCAAATAAGTGTTGGGCAATCGGATGTTGTACAATAGTGTTATCTTTCTTGGCTAATACACCAAGGACAGGGCAAAGGATATGTAGAAATAGAGGGCTGAATCGATAGCAGTAAATAAAATAAAATCAAAACCTAGGAATTAAATTTTGGACTACTCCTCAAGGTTTGGAATGTTTATTTTTGATACTCCTCTAATCTCCACTTGACTTATAACCTTGTCACATTTGTCTGAAGATTCCCATTCACCATGCATCGTGAAGAATCCATGGGAGTCTCAGTGGGAGGCTTGGAGAACTTGTTGATCCATGCCCTGCGTTACTTACCTGACACCCATTGCATGGGGAGGAAGCGTCACCACCTCGCTTCCTCCCATTGCTCCTAAGGCAATACAGGAAGTGTCCCATGTTGCCGTGACAGTGATGTGCACCACTTCCTTGCCTTTTTTTTTAACCACGGAGCCCCAAAGGTATATACAAAATATACAAACTTTACAACTTCTTCTTCCTCACTACTCACAGCAGCAATTTTTCAACACACCATCCATCCCTCAACAACCTCCATCAACCCTCATTAAACTTAGTGTAACTACAACTTACATACTACTCCCATTGCATTAAGCACTACACCCTGATTACAGTGGCTTAATTTATTGTCGAAGGCTTTCATGGCCGGAATCACTCAGTTCTTGTGGGTTTTTTCGGGCTATATGGCCATGTTCTAGAGGCATTTCTCCTGACGTTTCGCCTGCATCTATGGCAAGCTTCTTCAGAGGTCTGCTGGAGCTGGGAAAAAGGGGTTTATATATCTGTGGAATGACCAGGGTGAGACAAAAGGCTTTTGTAAGTTGGGCTAGGTGTGAATCTTTTCAACTGACCACCTTGATTAGCATACAATGGGCATAGATCCGGTGAGCCTGTGGTGTTTTGAAAGTCCTTTTGGCTGCGAGGAATTGTGGGATGGTATCTGTGTCTCTGCAGCGTAGAAGGAAAGTCAGGGAGCACAACCCCTTTTTCCCAGCTCCAGCAGACCTCTGAGGAAGCTTGCCATAGATGCAGGCGAAACGTCAGGAGAAATGCCTCTAGAACATGGCCATATAGCCCGAAAAAACCCACAAGAACTGAGTGGCTTAATTCTTTTACATGTAAGTTGGGACAGAGGCATTAACTCTGCTATCACTTAGAAAATGGCAGGTTATTTCCAAATCCTGACAAACTTGCCCTTGACTTATACATGAGATTGACTTATACCCAAGTTTATACAATATTAGTACAACTTTGCAGTGTATAAATGTAAATGGAGAATATGATAAATATTGTCTTAGTATTTTTGCTATGAAACCTAAGAAGAGTGATTTTTTTACTGACATTCATATTGTTTTCATGGCGAATATTTCACAATCCTGTCGAGCCAATGGAGGTGATTTTCCCCCCTTTCATTCTTTCCAGAGCAACAATGGCATCGATATCTACAGTCTGAAAGTAGATTGTAAAGTTACTTCCAGGTTTTCTCATAATGTCATCACCAGCCGAGTTGTCAACAGGGCCAATGTGTCCAAGGAAGCCTTATTTGATGTGGAACTTCCCAAGACTGCCTTCATTACCAATTTCACCATGTATGTAGAAAGCACTTTCTGAACTGCTGTTTTGTGAGTGCTCAGATCAGTCTTGTCCAGCCCCAGATGCTGGGTAATCCTGTTATGACATCTTTCCACGTCCTGGTTGTAGGCAAATGTTGGAATCAATCTGTTCTACATAAAATCTGTAGAATATATCAATTTGTGAACTGTCATTCTTCATTGCTCCTTCACTTCAACTTGTCCCATACTCTTATTAATTTCTCCTATTGGTTTTCAGTGACCTTAGCTCTTCTTTGAAAGTGGGATTTGCTTCTATGTATTGCCAAAATGCTTGCTCACAGGGGATCTAGTAAAGTTGGAATTGGTAACTCTCATAATTGGCAATGCTAACTAAAGCTGATAAGATTTTCCTTTCAACAACATATAAAAGTCTACAGCAGCTCCCCTCCCTTTGTGGCAAGGGACTGTGGTTGAGGTCCTGTATTGCAGATGTAGTTCCAAGTAACTATACATTGTCTCTTGATTTTACCTCACAAATATACCTTGAAAGGGAGCCACAATGTGAGAAGTGGGCTGTTTTGCTGGCGATTAAGGTGCAGCAAGATGATATTTCCAGCCCCTTCCCAGCAGTGATTTATCTTGTGATGAGGAGTCGTGACAGGGGTCCTGCTTCTGATTGTCACATCACAGGCCATTAGTGGAAGATGACAGGAAATGTTATCCTGCTGCATTCCAGTCATCAGCTGAAGTGACCTCCTTCAATTGGTGGGGTTTCCGGCTGTTTGCGGTTTTGGTAGGGCATATGATAATAATGATAGTGGAATGACTATAAACAATGTAAACTGTTCACTTTTGCTGAACAGCTATGAATGCATAAATCTAACTTCCATTGCTCAACAAGACAATGTTTTCCTCAGCTTAATGCTAACATAAGTTATAAAAGATCCTTCAGTATATTGAGATGCCTTCAGCTTTTAGAAGGACATAAGAGGCATAATGGATCAGAACAATGGCCTGTTACCCACAATGGTCATCACAGGCCTACAAAAAGACAATTAATAGAACAAAGTTGCCACAATCCCCCTTTCGGTACATTTGTTTTCCCTAACAAATTAAATTTGCTACTTCATCACACTAGAGAATGAATCCACTTTAAATCCAGTTTCTGCCTCCTGTAGAATTCTGGGGTGTGTAGTTTAGTGAGGCTGTTAAAGGTTCCTCCCTAAACTACAAACCCCAGAATTCAGCACGAGCAGGCAACGTGGATTCATTCTGTAGTGTGATGACGTCCATCAAAACAGACCGCCAATAATACTGCAGGTAAATCATAACCTTCTTGATTAGAAGTCACTGGCAATACTAGTCTCAATGAATTTTTCTAATTTCCTTTTGAAATCATCCAAACTTGTGGCCATTATAACTTCTATGAACAACAACAACTCCATATCCTGAAACAGCGTTTCTTATATAAAATATGGAACAATTCAAAATAGTGCTGGAGTGAGTCTTAGGCTTCATGAAATGGTGGGAGGATAGAGGCAGGGTGTGACTGTATATCAGTTTAGTTCTCAGTGACCTGCATAATTAAGGTTTGGATTCTTTTTTCTGAATGTTTTCAAATTGTGGTTGATTGATTATGTGGATGCATAACCCATGGATACAAAGGGCTGGCTGTAAGCTATTGTTTACAGTAAGGTTTTCTATAAATCACTAAAACCAAAAGAAGCTCATCTTTTTGCCTAATGAGAATATTTTTGAATATCTACATGCATTTTCACATATTTGTATGACTTTTCTCCTGTAGGGTGATTGACGGGGTCACCTATCCTGGAACTATAAAAGAAAAAGAAGCTGCCCAACAGCAGTATCAGCAGGCAGTCTCAAGAGGACAGACAGCAGGCCTAGTCAAGTGAGGATGGGATCCTTTAATATTCCAATAGGTTATTTGTGAAAGGAAAAGGGGAGAAAAATTGGTGTGCTGGTGTACCAATTTGAATAGGTATTTGCAAGATAGTATTATGTTGACCAGCAGTCACCTTGTATATTATATATTAAGGCTGGGACTTGTCTGATGGGCAGCAATGATGCAACTTTGCTATCATGAGAATGTGGTCTAGGAGTCAAGGTGTGTACAATGGGAGGTAATAAGACATTGGCAGTCACGTTTTTCACACTTTCTAACAAACTTTTTTGTAACTTGCGAAGGGCCTCTGGAAGAAAAACAGAAAAATTCAGTGTTTCAGTCAACATTGCCGCAGCCAGCAAAGTGACCTTTGAGCTGATCTATGAGGAATTACTGAAACGACATTTTGGAAAATATGAGCTGTTTCTAAAAGTAAACCCAAAGCAACTTGTCAACAACTTTGAGGTACTGTAACACTAACATTGCAGAAATGGCATAGCTGTAAAGCCTGCTGTAGTCCACAACAAAGCTTCTTCCAGATAGAAGAATCCAAATGCTGTCAGCCAAAAAGCACTGGGGCTTGATTTCTTCCTGTCCTCTGTAATGATTGTTTTCTGGTAAAGGAAATTACTCATGAAGAGTAGACAAACACAGGAGGTTTACAAGTAGAAAATAGTTATCTAGACCTTTTATAATTCTGGGTTTAAAGAAGTGCAATTGCAAGATAAAATCTTTATCTGGAGGTATCCAGAAGGTCAATGTTGTTGTTCACTCGTTCAGTCGTCTCCGACTCTTCGTGACCTCATGGACCAGCCCACGCCAGAGCTTCCTGTCGGCCGTTACCACCCCCAGCTCCCTCAAGGTCAGTCCAGTCACTTCAAGGATGCCATCCATCCATCTTGCCCTTGGTCGGCCCCTCTTCCTTTTGCCTTCCACTTTCCCCAGCATAATTGTCTTCTCTAGGCTTTCCTGTCTCCTCATGATGTGGCCAAAGGACTTCCACTTTGTCTCTAGTATCTTTCCCTCCAGTGAGCAGTCGGGCTTTATTTCCTGGAGGATGGACTGGTTGGATCTTCTCGCAGTCCAAGGCACTCTCAGCACTTTCCTCCAACACCACAGTTCAAAAGCATCGATCTTCCTTCGCTCAGCCTTCCCTAAGGTCCAGCTCTCACATCCGTAGGTGACTACAGGGAACACCATGGCTTTGACTAGGCGGATCTTTGTTGCCAGTCTGATGTCTCTACTCTTCACTATTTTATCGAGACTGGACATTGCTCTCCTCCCAAGAAGTAAGCATCTTCTGATTTCCTGGCTACAGTCTGCATCTGCAGTAATCTTTGCACCTAGAAATACAAAGTCTGTCACGGCCTCCACGGTTTCTCCCTCTATTTTCCAGTTGTCAATCATTCTTGTTGCTATATCTTGGTTTTTTTGACGTTTAGCTGCAACCCGGCTTTTGCGCTTTCTTCTTACCTTGATTAGAAGGCTCCTCAGCTCCTCCTCGCTTTCGGCCATCAGAGTGGTGTCATCTGCATATCTGAGGTTGTTAATGTTTCTTCCAGCAATTTTCACCCCAGCTTTGCATTCATCCAGCCCCGCACAGCGCATGATGTGTTCTGCATACAAGTTAAAAAGGTTGGGTGAGAGTATGCAGCCTTGCCGTACGCCTTTCCCAATCTTGAACCAGTCTGTTGTTCCGTGGTCAGTTCTGACTGTTGCTACTTGGTCCTTGTACAGATTCCTCAGGAGAGAGACAAGGTGGCTTGGGATGCCCATCCCACTAAGAACTTGCCACTATTTATTATGATCCACACAGTCAAAGGCTTTAGAATAGTCAATGAAGCAGAAGTAGATGTTTTTCTGAAACTCCCTGCCTTTCTCCATTATCCAGCGGATATTGGCAATTTGGTCTCTCGTTCCTCTGCCTTTTCTAAACCCAGCTTGAACATCTGGCAACTCTCGCTCCATGTATTGCTGGAGTCTTCCTTGCAGGATCTTGAGCATTACCTTACGGGCATGAGAAATAAGGGCCACTGTACGGAAGTTTGAGCAGTCTTTCGCATTTCCCTTTTTTGGTATGGGGATATAAGTTGATTTTTTCCAGTCTGATGGCCATTCTTGTGTTTTCCATATTTGCTGGCATATGGCATGCATCACCTTGACAGGATCATCTTTTAAGATTTTAAACAGTTCAGCTGGGATCCCGTCGTCTCCTGCTGCCTTGTTGTTAGCAATGCTTCTTAAGGCCCATTCAACCTCACTCCTCAGGATGTCTGGTTCTAATTCATTCACCACACCGTCACAACTATCCTCGATATTATTATCCTTCCTATACAGATTTTCTGTATAGTCTCGCACCTTCTCTTGATCTCTTCAGCTTCTGTTAGGTCCCTGCCATCTTTGTTTCTTATCATACCAATTTTTGCCTGAAATTTACCTCCAATGTTTCTAATTTTCTGGAAGAGGTCTCTTGTCCTTCCTATTCTGTTGTCTTCTTCCACTTCCATGCATTGCTTATTTAAAAATAGTTCCTTATCTCTTCTGGCTAACCTCTGGAATTGCGCATTTAACTGGGCATATCTCCCCTTTTCACTGTTTCCTTTTGCTTTTCTCCTTTCTTGGGCTACTTCCAGTGTCTCAGCAGACAACCATTTTGCCTTCTTGGTTTTCTTTTTCTTTGGAACGTACTTTGTTGCCGCCTCCTGAACAATGTCTCGGACTTCTGTCCATAGTTTTTCTGGGACTCTGTTTACTAAATCTAGTCCTTCAAATCTGTTCTTCACTTCCACTATATTCGCTAGGAATGTTAGTGAGATCATATCTAACTGGTCTGTGTATTTTCCCTGATCTCTTTAGTTTTATTCTAAATTTGGCAATAAGAAGGTCGTGATCTGAGCTACAGTCAGCCCCAGGTCTTGTTGTCACCGACTGGATGGATGTCCGCCACCTTTGGCTGCAAAGGATGTAGTCAATCTGATTTCGGTGTTGACCATCTGGTGAGGTCCATGTATAAAGCCGTCTTTTAGGTTGTTGGAAGAGAGTATTCGTTATACACAGCGAGTTTTCCTGGCAAAATTCTATCAGCCTGCGTCCCGCTTCATATTGTTCTCCCAGACCATGCTTGCCTGTGATCGTTGTCATTTGACTTCCCACCTTGGCATTCCAGTCTCCTGTAATGAAAATAATGTCTCTTTTTGGTGTATTATCCAGTAGGTCCTGCAGATCCTCATAGAACTGATCTACTCTGCTTCTTCAGCAGCTGTGGTTGGGGCGTATATTTGGATCACTGTAATGTTGAAAGGCTTTCCTTGCACTCGAATTGAGATCATTCTGTCATTTTTTGGGTTGTATCCAAGCACCGCTTTAGCAAATTTCTTATTAATTATGAAGGCTACTCCATTTCTTCGATGTTCCTCTTGTCCGCAGTAGTAGATCTGGTGGTCATCTGATGTGAAGTGGCCCATTCCAGTCCATTTCAGTTCGCTGACCCCCAGAATGTCCATCTTTAGTCTTGACATCTCACCAATAACAACATCCAATTTGCCCTGGCTCATAGATCTTACATTCCAGGTTCCTATGGTGTGTTGATCTTTAGAGCATCGGATTCGTCATTCACCTCCAGTACCGTCAGCCACTAGCCTTCCTTTCGGCTTTGAGCTAGCTGCGTCATCACATCTGGGGCTAGTTGAACTTATCCTCTGCTCCTCCCCAGTAGCATTTTGGCCATCTTCCGACCTGGGAGTCCCATCTTCCAATGGCATACCGACATATCTCTGGTTGTACTGGTCCATTTAGTTTTCTTGGCAAGGATACTGGAGTGGTTTGCCATTGCCTTCCCCAGGGATCACGCTTGGTCTGACCTCTCTGCCATAACCGTCCCGTCTTGGATGGCCCTTCACGGTTTCGCTCATGACATCATTGAGGTGCTCAAGCTCCAGCGCCCCGACAAGGCGGTGATCCTTTGCTGGAGGTCAATAAATAGGTACAAACCCCATAACTATGGGACAGTACCTGCAGTTTCATTTACCAGTGCCTAGGAATTTTCTAGGTCCTCCAGGTGGTATGCTTCCACCAAAAGTCATTAATTCAATAGGTTTTCGTTATTACCCATGGTTTTAGGCAATGTTGTGGAAGTATCCACAACAGAAACAAGAGTCATGTTGTATATCTTGCAGAAGAAGACAGATAAGAAATAGTCTCCTAGTTCTCAATGCAACATGTTTATTATAGTTAAGATGACTGACTACATTATCATCTTGCTTTCTGCTACAAAGGAAGTTTTAGAACCAACAAGTTGTCAAATTGTGATTGATGAGCTGTTTTTATATATGTATCTACCTAAAGCAGTGGTTCCCAACCTGTGGTCCGTGGACCACCAGTGGTCAGCAAGAATGAAAATATGGTCCACGGCTCACCATTACTACACTGTTGCCTCGAAACCAGGAGGCAACGAGAGCGACTAGCCTCACAAAACCCTCTTACAGTGCCGATGCAATGGGGATGTTGGGAGGGGAGAGAACGACTCCCCATGAAGGATTACTACTACCACATCAGCGCTAGATTATTAAATATGGTTTTCTGTGGGTACCTGGATGGCACATGTTCTGTATCAGAAACTGGAGCTGATGTGACCTACCCAAAGCAGTTTTCTGAATCAGCACCCCCAAATAACAAACCAAATCTAAAGCTATCCAAAAACTGATTTGTAACCCTTTTAGTACTAATATTGGCGAGTGGTCTGATTTGTAATCCTTTTGGTACTAATGTTGGAGAGTGGTCCATGATCAAGTGGTCCCTGGTCAAAAAAAGGTTAGGAACCACTGACCTAAAGTTATCTTATGACTGAATTTGTGAGTGACAGTCAGTGACAGCATTATTCCAATCATTATTTCAGATTGAGGCAAACATCTTTGAACCACAGGGTATCATCTCTCTGGAAGCCGAAGCGTCATTCATCACCAATGACTTATTACCAGTTATACACAAGTCTTTCTCGGGGAAAAAGGTATGTCTGCTAAACATAAAATAGAGGTCTTGTATTTTCTATATAATTTTCATGAACATAACCCCAAATTACTGACTACAGAGTGACACTTATTTATTAAAATCTAAGCTCATGGAATCTTGTACTTTCAGGGCCATGTGTCCTTCAAGCCAACCATTGACCAACAACGGAGCTGTGCAGATTGCCCAACAACACTGCTGAATGGAGATTTTGTCATAACATACAATGTGAATAGAGAATCTCCAGGTGATTTACAGGTAAACAGAACCAATCTAGTCTACTATCTCAGTGGATTTTCTTTTTAATATCACCTCACACGAATCTTTTTCTTCTTGTTTTTCAGATTGTGAATGGGTATTTTGTACACTTCTTTGCACCCAAAAATATTTCACATTTGCCTAAGAACATTGTTTTCATAATAGATGTCAGTATATCAATGTCTGGACGAAAACTACAACAGGTAACTAAAGGCTCTAAAGTTGACTTAAAATGCAAGTAGCAGTTAAAGTAACAGGAAGAAGGATGTATTCAGCAGAATTTCTTCCAAACAGTTCTTACTCAGATCACCTTCAGAGTTTTGTGAGTGCCTCCATACAGTAAGCAGCTAAAGCTTCATGTTGGGATCCCATATCAAGAGTGACATAATAAATATTGCTATGATTAGTTATACAAGCAGTCCCCGAATTACAAACATCAGGTTTACATATTCCTAGTTACGAACTGGAAAGGCAATAGGAAGTGTGAGGAAATCTACCCCCAAGGAAGGAAAATTCAGTCTTGCATTGGTTATTATGATAAAAAGGTGTTTCCTTTTCAAGTTTTATCACCAATCTTTATTTTCATGACAACAAAAACAAATCAAAATCAAATTGCTCCAGTGACAGAAAGTGAGGTGGAATCTTCTGAACATCGGCACAGGAGTATTAGTCCTTCTGCATGCTATCCAAAACTATTTCTGCAAGCCACCTTAGGTTTCCAAAATGAGGAAAAGGCAGGATGAAATAGTAAGAGTAATAACCAGTCAGACAGTCTGTCAATCAGCTCACTGACACTTAGCCATTGTCTGGAAGTACCCATGAATCTTGGATGATTCTGAGCCAAACCTTCCAAATAATATCCACAACCTTGTAGCTGAATGTTTTCATTTTGAGACAGCTTGTTATGGCCCACTTTCATGACTTGAGGCATTGTGGAATCATCCTTGAGGATATATGTGCATAGGAGAAGGTTACTGTGAGCCTGATTATGCATCATAGTTACAGGTTTTCTCGCAGGTGATTGTGTGAATGAATCAAAACAATAAAAGTTCAAAGAAATCAATCTTTGAAGCAAGCTTTAAGCTACAGTATTTTCCATTAGTGCTCTGCCTTTAGTTGTTTGACCCCACATTTATTTTATTTTAGACAAGGGAAGCACTGCTTAAAATATTGGAAGACATTAAAGAGGACAGTTACTTGAATTTTGTGCTGTTTGGTGACGATGTGCACAAATGGAAAGACATTTTAATCAAAGCCACGCCTGAGAATCTGGATGAAGCAAGACGTTATGTTGAAAGGATTCACATAGATGGGTGTAAGTTTCCAGGGGAAATGGAAGAAGTGGTTGGAATCCTGTTTGAGCATTGCATGCTTGTAAGCAGACTTGCGTCTGTGGGAAATAAAATTGCAATAGAGGGATGCTGTTATGTAATTATGTAGCAGAACTGGTGAAGAGACCAAAGCACTACAGGATTTAAGTAAATTAAGAGCAATATATTATTGCCCCTACCTTGCAATGGACCCATAAATGCACATTGGACATCCCCCAATGTGCATCTGGTACTCTTTTTGGTATCTTGTATTGCATCTTTGCAAGTCAGTAACCAGTTTTCTTATCTCCTCTGCTGCTTAGTTAAATGCATACAAATGTATATTGAGTGAAAGGATTCCAACCCACATCTTTAAATTTATATATTTATTTTAAATCTAGTATTTACCATATTTAATAATTGAAATAATCTACCTTTTGCTTCTGGGATTAAACAGTTTAAGATTAAATCTGTATTGTACAGGTACAATACAGTAAAACTGTTGAAAACAAGCAGTAAAAACTAACTGTGTGATGTGACTCATTTAAATAATTGATTAAATTATGGAGAAACATGCTGAATTTCCAAAGTAAGTCAGTCTCATTAAAATAGAACCAAAGAGGTCACAAGGGCCAACTTCTTTATATATATATTACTGTAGTTAAGTCTTCTTCATTTACAAATGTGCAATGCTAATTTCTAATGATATTTTATTAATTACTTATTTCTTATTAATGCTTAGTAACTGGTTATCCTTTATATGACAGACTTGCAGATTTCGCTGTTTTTCTCACTCCATTTGCAAGTACTGAAAATGAGGGGGTTGTAATACATACATTAAAAAAACTAAACGTTGTTTTAATCACAATTCATTTGCTCTTCTGTCTGCTCCAGTGACAAATCTTAATGGTGGCTTAATGGCTGGAATTGAAATGCTCAATGAAGCTCATAAAAAAGGATCTCTCCCTGAAAGAAGTGCTTCCTTAATTATCTTGTTAACAGATGGCCGACCCACTGAAGGTATCGTTTCTGATAAAGCAGACAAAACCTTCTTGAAGTTGATAGAAAAGGTCAGATGTTTGAGGTATTGTTGTGATATCTGAAGAGAGACTTGAGGTTGTGTCTAAACTGGAATTAATGCAATTTGATACCACATTAACTGCCACGGCTCAATGCTATGGAATCATAGGATTTGCAATTTGGCAAGGCACCAGCATTCTTTGAAGAGAAGATTGAAGACCTTGTAAAACTAAAAGTTCCACGATTCCACAGCAGCAGGAAGCTGCAACCTATATTTCACGGAAGGTGTAAGAAAATTAAACAAGGGGAGTGTGATTTATTCTCTAAAGGCCTGCTCTTTAACACACTGAAAACTAAAAAGCCAAGTTGAAACTTACTGAAATTAGACCTCAGTCTTCAGATAGGCACATTTATGACCTTATCAAAAAGGCCAGGTGAAGTGTCATGTTTCACTGCTGGAAAGAGGGGACAGTGGGGCGAATCGGTCACCCTGCTTCATATGTGGGAAGCGTTGCCCTCTCAGCAAAACAGGGGTAGGCTTTCATGTTGTGGGGAAAGCATCCACCAATGCTTCCATCTCAGTTGAGGCAAAGCTTCCATGGGAAATCACACAACGTTGTGTGATGACTCCGTCCCCAAGACAAGGTGGAAGCATCATAGGACACTAATTTTTCCCCGTCTGATAAGGCTCTGATTTACATTTGTTTGTTTGCAAAGGAACTATTCCTCCAAAAGTTGTTTTGCATTCTGCACATAATTTCAGTACATGAAAGGGAAGAAAATAACTTCTGTTGCCGTAGAAACAAATGCAAATGCTATTTTTCTCAATTTTTTAAATGAGGAATCCAAGAAAAACTTCAAAACAAATTGTTTTCTGTGTTTTTACGCAGGGGAAACAGACCCTCAAGTCATTTTATCTAATGTCAGAAACGCAATTCAGGGAAAATACCCTTTATATAACCTTGGATTTGGATATGATCTTGACTATGGTTCTTTAGAAAAGATGGCAGCTGAGAACAATGGACTGGCTCGTCGAATTTATGAGGATTCTGATTCAGCCTTACAATTACAGGTAAGAAAGAAAAGAGTTAACATCAAAGGCCCTGCCTACATTGCCATATAGTGCAGTTTTAGAATGCAGTTTAAGTGCATTGGACTGGATTATATGGCGGTGTATACTCGTATAACCCAGTTCAATGCAGTTAAAATCCATCTCGAAATTGCATTATATGGCAGTGTAGTCACATCAGTATTTAAGTGGAATTTGTTTTCATCTTAATGATTATTTCTTGAAGAGCATGGGCTGAAGCATTTAGTTTCGTAGGGAAGGGCCAAGGGTTATTAGTGGGAAGCTAAGTAATTCCAGTCACCAAGCATTATGTCACAGAATAAGGGCCAGGAAAGATATCTGTTCTGGTTGAAGGAAAATATTGTTTACATAAGCAGAGAATAGTAAAGACATCTGCACTGATTGAATGATTGGAGAAAGAAAAGGATATAAAACTGACTTAAGAGTGACAGAATTCAAACTGACTAGAGCCTCAATCTCGTATGTATGTATGTATGTATGTATGTATGTATGTATGTATGTATGCCATGCATTTATATATGTATGAGCTCTGTATAATAGCTTTGAAGCTGATAATGTCACTCTCAGCTGATAACTATACAGTCTGGTAAAAGAAAATTTCTACTCTCAATAAGACTATATACGGGTTTAATGAATGCCTATTTGTAAAACTATGATATACAATACTTATTAAACATACAAATTGTATATAATAGGTCTCATCACAAAGGCCAGGTGAACTGTCTTGCTTTGCCTGGCTTCATCAATAAAAGAGAGTGGCAGTGGGGTGAATTGGTTACCCTGCATGCAGCTGCCTTATGGCGACATATGCCTCATCACATGTGGAAAGTGTCGCCCCTTCTGCAGAGGATCTGTGCTGGCTACATTGGAGCCAGCATAATATGGGAAGCTGGTTGGAAGCGGGGTCTCTGCTGGAAGTCACACAACATCGTGCGATGGCCAGCATGGGGCTCCGTCCCCAAGACAGGGTGGAAATGTACTAGGATGCTGATTTAGGTGAGTGTGATGAGGTCAATAGTATCTTGGACCACACTAGCTGGTGATCATATTGATAGTGTGTGGTTGGCCAATACACATTTTGGTGCTCAAATGTTAACCCTGTTCCTGGGTATATTTGACCTGCTGAGTCCGAAAATGGCACCTGTTTCTCCCTGTCAGCTCTAGCTTTTGAGATACAGAGAATATACCATCTACCAGCTGCCAGCTGCTCACCTACAGATGATTGTCATAACCATATCTAGGAAACTAGAGCCAGTGTGGTCTAATAAGTTCAGTTTCCTGATTCAGAACCCAAAAGAATCCTAGAAACCAAGGAACCAAGATTTTTTTTTGTGTTGGGCTATCTTGTCAAAGGTCACCTATTGTGCTCATGGACTTTCTACCACAAACTGAAGCAGAAGACGACAATTCCCCTATTTCTTTAAACTCCCAACCTGTTGTTGTTGTTTCTGTTTTTGTTTTTTTGTTTTTTAAAAAAAACAATCTTAAGCACGTCCTATAAAGGATTCTACCTCTGGATAGGGAAAAATCTCAACACTACAGCAAATACGTTGTAAACTACCTTGAGTCCCCTCAGAAGTGAGAAAGGCGGTATATAAGTACAGTAAATAAATAAATAAATATTGACAGTGACAGGACCAGTTAAAATCAATACATTTGAAAAATCCTGTTAAAGGCTAAGCACAACGAGACATACTGGATTTTCTTTGGGAGTGAGTTTTACAGGGTAACTCATTGCTGAAAAAGACATCTTTGATGGCTGTGTATGTAGTTGATGTTAATAGGGTATTCAGTTATGTTCTTAAACAATGAACATGTTCATGCCTCTTGTCTTTTCAAAAACATTAGAAATGGCACTGAAGTTTAGAGACTATAGAAGATACATTTTGAAAAGTAAGTATTTGGCATCATAATCTGCCTGCTTTTCTTATGGTTTCATTTCTAGGGCTTTTATGATGAGGTGGCCAACCCTTTACTCACAGAAATAGAGTTAAAGTACCCTGAAAATGCCATTTCAGACCTAACTCAAAATCATTTTAAGCACTACTATGATGGTTCTGAACTTGTTGTTGCTGGGCGTATTACAGACAATGACCTCAACAGTATTACTGCTGAGGTGAAAGCTCAAGGGGTAAGTGTTTAGATAGCTCTGCATATTGACATATACTGGTCATGAATAGCACATATTCTCCAGTTTGGCATTACAGATCTATGTTATGTAAAAATCTACATTCTGATGTTCTGGAACCAAAAAGCTAACAAGGCCAACTCTAGCTAGTGTAGAGGAATGGCACTTTCTCCAAAGCCTGTTGTCTAAGTTTCTTCCTGCTCTGGCTGAAGTGTTTTCAAGCATTTTCCTTTCTTTTCAAAAATCTACACATGCAAAATCTGCCCCTTACTGGGAAGTTCCCTTCTCGGTCACAGCACATTGGAATCATACAGCATTTTCAAAGCTTACTTCTTGCTATTTTGATTTGCCAGCTTCTGAGAACCTTCGCCAGTTTAAAGAGTAAGGCTCTAGCTCAGTCAATTCAAATTCAGTTAGGAGCTTCTGTCTTCTATAGTGGATGCTATTGGTGGGTAAGCAGCATCTTTTCAACACGCAGCTGTAGAAATGCACCTTTCATTCTAGAATTTATTTTGCAACCTGCCTAAACCTAAGATCCAGTGGAGAGTAGGATCTGTTTCACAGTCTCACCATTTTCATAGGTACAGTTGGTGAAGGAGAAAGTCTTCTTGGTGGCTACTCACATACTGTAAAACTCTGTACTACAATGAGAATGGAATGGCTTACTACCTGCTTTCTTTCTGACAGAAGACAAAGTTCTTTTCATCTAAACAAGCATTTGTATATAATTCATTGTAGAAATAATGTACTTTGCCACCCCTTTAACTGCAATGACTCAGTCCTATAGAATCATGGGATTTGTGGTTTTACAAGATATTTAGATTTCTCTGCCAACGAGAGCTGGGGCCTCACCAAATTACAAATCCCAGGTTTCCATAGCATTGACCTATGTCAGTAAAAGTGGTGTAAAACTGCATTAATTTTAGATGCAGTAAAGAGAATGATATCAAGACATTTTGATTCCAAATTATTCATTATTATCTGTGGCTCTACTAGAAAACATAGTCAGTCACATGGTCATTTCTAATTGCCCTGAAAAGTAACCTTTGTATGAAATTCCTTGAAAAATCCCCAGAATGGGAACATACCTTGACCACATTCCTTTCTGATCCTGTATCTCTCTGTGACAGATCAATAAATGGACTGACTCTTCAAAATAAACCAATGTCAATTTATTAAATTTCCTGTTAAGGAAAAGCCAACCATTGTGGACATCCTACTAAGTCTTGAGCCACTCAGGATACTGATCCTAGCCAGACTCTTTTTGAACCAATAAGGAGATAGCATGGGTTTCTTGAATAGCTGTCAAATGAAAACATGTATTTGCAATCGTGGTATGTCAGTACTTTGGAGTACTTTCTCCATTGACATCCTCTCTGGCTATTGAGAATAGACCTCTGATTTTGCTTTCTACCTGTGTGTGTCTGATTTGGCCTTCTGGAAAGAACCTCCCGAGCCCCTGATTTTAGCAAAGCTGAAATCATTCAACAAGATCCCTTCCTCAATTATAATTACAAATTATATAATTATAGGTTGTAATTATAATTTATGCAATTACAATGTAAATTAGTTCAAAATTTGTTATTGAAAAAAGAATTAGTTATAATGAGCTGGTTACTTGTAACTAATTCATCTGTAGCCATTCTAATTGTTTTAATCTAGGAGAGAAGTAAATCAGTTGTTGTGCTTGAGAAGATATGCCTTTGTTGTTTTACTAGAAGGTATAGAAATATAGTCTAAGGCAATTAGTAAATAAATGGAAGAGTTTATTTTGGAACATTACTAACAGGCAGAAGAAGATCTGACTTTTACTGAACAAGCAGACATGGAAGAAACAGCTAAAGCTCTTGAAGAGCAGCAACACATCTTTGGAGATTATATGGAGAGACTCTGGGCATATCTTACAATTCAGCAGCTTCTAGAAAAACGGTAATGAAAGATATTTTCTACTGTCATGAGTGAACCTAAAATCCTAAGAGAAATATCACATGTAGAAGTTCACATTGGAAATATGTGGGAACACTTTTGGTTATCATTGAGTGTTAATAGCTTTTTATGTTTAAGCAAACTTCAAACTGCCAGAAATCTGTGTTCCTCCCCAGAATGTTGTTTGAGATACTCTTCTTGGGTTACCTGTTCTTCCATATTTTAAAAACGTTGGGGAAGGTATTGCTCTGCCCAATCATTATCACAGGTACACTTGGAAGGAACACAACATTTGGTAATGAATCATTGCTACTTTCTTAACATGAAGCTCCAGTTATTAAAGTTAATAGATACTGCGAGGCCTCATATCACTTTTTCATTAGATCATCTGGGAGATTATACAAAGTATTATGTTATTGTGGTTGAAACTTCAAATAAGATGTCATATGACAGGTTTATTACTTATAAACACAATATAGAGGAACAACTTCTCTTTGTCATGTCCATATTCATGTATTTATTTATTTATTTATTTATTTGCTTTATTTTTATACCGCATTTTTCAGCCTAAATCGGCGACTCAATG